AGGCAGGAGATTAGCCCCAAGTCAGGGATCCCTGTAGCTGTACTGGTGCTGATTCCTGAGCATAAACAAGGACGTGCAGAGAGGTTTGTACTGGCGGAGCTAGCTGAGATTTAGCTACAGAACAAGCATCCATCCCCCACATGCTGCCCTGCCAGCAGGCCTGGTCCCTGGTTTGAGCCGCTGTCCTGGGAATGGAGTAGTTCAGTCTCCATGGCCCATGCGGTTCTTGGCCACTCTGCTGGGTCTGCCAATGAGTGCTAAGCATGGCGGTGAATTGGTGATGTGGGAGCTGGAGTTGACAGCCACCCACCCTCCTGACTGGATCCAAACTGGTCACTTAGAGGTTCAAGGCTCCGCAGCCCATTTGTCAGGCACGGGTGTGCCCCAGGAAGTGTTAATGTAAGAGTGGGTTCCATATTCTAGGTGCCACAGGCGGCAATGCCTAGCTATTCGTTTGCCCAACACTTCCCATTAAAACCCTCGGTTTTCAGTGGCTTGTAACTTTACCAAATTTTAAAGTGATATTTCCTGTACCAGGTGCCTGCCTCGAGCGGAATAGTTTGGGGAAGGTTCAGCCATTTCCAAGGGGTAGAGGAGGTGATAATATGTTGTTTTGCCCATGTTAACTGCAAATGGGTAATGAGATTTTTCTTGGCAGGGTGTAGCCTCTGTGTCTGGAAGGTGCCATCTGGGTTTCCCATGAAAAGCCGCCCAAATGTGGCCAAGTTGCCAACATCAGCAAGGTCTCAGTCACATGCTCAGCAGAGATTGGTTTGCGCTTGGGAGCTGAAGTCTCTGAACGTTCCATCTGCACTGAGCATGCTCCAGCCCCTCATAGCTCCTATGTGTGACCAGGCTGCGCAGGTGCTATCCCCATAGAGCGACTGGGCACGCTCCAGCCCAGGGTTGCATGGGCTGAGCAGGACTTTCTCTGCAATTGCTGCTGAGAGCCGCTGTGGTGCTGAGCACCAGAACTGGAAGCAGGGAGACTCTCTCCTGGGTGCAGTGCTTTCCCTCTACTGGTGCCAAAGCAGTGAGGACGGGGAGGGTGCAGTCTCACTTAGAATGCAGGGTGAGAAATGAGTGGAATGACCTGGGGAGAGGGGGTTGCAAAAGCCAGAGGGGGCTGGGAGACACTGGCTGGAAGGTTGGGGGAGAACAGCGGGAAGCAGGAGCTAGTGGGGCGGCAGAGGGGCAGGAGCCAGGGGATTGGATAGGAGCCAAGAGAGGAGTCAGCATCTCGGGGCTACATAGGCAGATAGCGGGAGTACAGGAGCAGAGGGATGGAGCAGGAGAACGTTGGGGGCAGATAGCAGGACAGAAGGCGAGATGTGGGGAAGGATAGGGGCAGGGGAGTCTATCCACTAAAGCACAGTCTCCTCCAGAACTTGGAACTGAACCCAGGAACCCTGAGTGTCTACACTACTTTTCAAACATCTGTGAAACTCTGGCAAAGTGTGTGTCATCCCCCTATACTGCCTGATGCCTAGAGAGGAAAACAGTCTACTGCTGCTGATTACTCCATTAGATCAAGTGGTAGAAATCTGTGGTGTGGATCCAAAGGGCCGAACCCCTCTGATGACCTAAGCTGGGGGTCAGTCTGGTTTGACATGTTTGAATTTCAGGCTTTTAAAATTAGGAGACTACATTAAAAACATTAAGGTTGCAAAGCCCAAGCACTCAAAAGTCAGGGAATGCCAGTATTAGGGTTGCCCATTTGACCTTAATTTGACCTCTTGTACATATGCATATTGATGCAGTCTGTAATTACAGAATCACATACTATCTTTTCCAGGGAACCCTGCCTTGTTCCTGCATGGACCTGCTCTGGGGATGAATCAGGGCTGTGTCGTGAAGGGGGCTGTTGTCTGCAGCACTCCTGCCTCATTTGTTGCAGAATTTGGCAGGGGTGTCACACACAAGGCAGGGGGTTGCAGGTTGTTTCATGGGTTAGGCAGTCGAATGCTGCCCTGGAAATTTGGAGTCTATCTCTGCCTCTGCCACAGAGTTCCTGTGTGATGCTGGGCAAGTCATTTAAACCAAAATGTTCACAGGTGTCCACTCAGTGTGTGTTCTTCACTTTCTAGTGGTGTGGGTCCCTGAGGTCAGGTTTGCAGAATAGCTGAGCACTCAATGACATCAATGGCAGTTGCACTTTGAACATATCAAGGGCTCTCAAACAGCTAGTCCCCTGGAAAATCAGGCCCAAAGCGTCTCAAGGTTGGCACCCAAAATTAGTGGCCACTTTTGACAATTTTGGCTTTACTCTCTCTGTGCCTCGGTTCCCCTTTTGTACAGTGGGGTAATATCACCCTCCCCACCCCTTCACAGGGCTGTTGTGAAGATAGCTCCAGTGCTGACTCTGAAGCACTCAGATGCTGTGGGGAGAGCACCGGGAAGGAAATGAATAATTCTTTGTCTGAGCAAGGTTTGGATGGTATGTGGCAAATAAAGTCTGAGGAGAGAATAAGGAAATACTGAATAACTGCCCATCTACTGACTGTGGGGAAGATTGCATGTGGTCATGTAATTAAAGACCGTGTCATAATGAATATGCACAAAGGGGCTGAATTAAGGTTGCACAAGTATCCGTAACTGTGGCATTTCCTAACTTTTGCATGCTTGGCTTTGCAAACATAATCACGTGTTTCTTCAGCTGTGAGATGTGTATGCGAACGCATTATAGCCACCAGCCTGAGGTAGGAAACATGCCGGTGGCAAAGCCATCCCCTCAGAAATTCAGAAATGCCAGCGCTGAGGCTGCCTGTTGTAAACATCCACCCGGGGACTGTGAGACAACAAAAGGAGACCTTTGGCCTGAACTCTGCTGTCAACAGAACCCCCAGCAGCAAAACAACCCCTCCCTTCCCGGAGCCGGTCAGCGCTGCCGTGGGGGTGTGCAGGCTTCCCTCACAGACTGGCCTGCGGGGCACCACTGCCCCGTGCTGCATGTGCCCACAGCCCCCTCCCTGCCAACCCCCCAACTAGGAAGCAAAGATGAGTGGCCGACGGCTCGGGAGCTCCCAAGCGTAGAAGTAGCAGGAAGACAAGCTGCCGTAGGAAGGGTCATCACCTGGGCACAAGACCTGGGAGAACAGCTAGCGTGGTTACAGATTAATGCACAGTGAGAGCTAGAATTACAACCATGACAGGGGAGTGCAGTTACGGCCTGGCTCCCACTGCAGTACAAAGGGGAGCTTAGTCCTCTGCCCTGAGGACCTGGCACCTGTAAGGCAATGGAAAGACTCGCCTGGACTTCAAGGAGCTCTGGAGCAGGCCATATCTGGGCCAAAGCCTTGGAAATGCCCCAGGCAGAGATCTGGAAGGGTGCGGGGGGGGGAGGGAAGGGAGGAAGCACGTTAACCAGAATAATTGAAACAGGCTGAGATTCTAAAAGCAACTCCCCTCCCCTACTCCCAGCATAGACAGGGGTCGTTTAACAATCACGCACACACCCTGACATAAGCACCGGTCACTCCGTGTTTACAGTGATTGCTAGTGCTCAGATGGGGCGCTCTGCTGGCCCATCTGTTGCCCTCTCCCTCTGGCTGCTTCTCCCCCTGCAGGTGGTCCTCCCTTGCTGGATCGTAAAACAGATGTCCTAAGTGGGGCCCTGATCTCGGGGGGGGGGGGGGGGCAGCGGGAGGCTGCAGGGCACTGCTATAACAGACAATAAATGAGAAATGTGGCCAAGTCCCAGGCCAGCCCTTATCCATCTGCAGGGCCAGATCTCCACAGGCCTCCCCTGCACATCACCCCAGCTACCACTTCACACACAGCCCCTTGGGTTTCCCAGCCTCCCTGGCTGGCCACCCACCCGAGGGCTCTAGGGGAGAACCCTGGAGCAAGCAACTTCTCATCTCTTACACGTCCTTGCCTCCCACCCACCTCAGCCAGTCCCTGGGCAGAGAGACCCTGGGTAGCCAGAGGATGTGAGGGTGCTGGAGTGGGAGGTCACAGAACACCAGCCTGGTGTGGTGGACCAGGAGGCTCTTAACCAGCAATTCCAAAGAGGCGGGAATGATGCGACCATCTTGGTGGCTGCACAGTTACACTCCATGCAGGGCCCTGGATGGGACAGGTTCAGTTTGGCTGGGGACACAGGCCCGGATCCAGGTTCTTAACTCCCATTGGAATCAGTAGGAATTAGGAGCCTGAATCCTCCTGTGGGGCTGGGCCATAGGCAGGGTGCCATGTACAGTACAAAGGGGTGCCAAGCTGCGACCATGACTCAGCTGTCAGGGGGTCTGGAGACCTAAGACTGTTTCCATGCAAAGACCCACAGTGTTTCAGACACAACCAATTGACACAGGCACTGCCTTCTTGTGTAACAGGCCCCTGCTTAGCTGTAGGCTGGGGAAACTTGACAAGCTGGTTCTCAGAGCCGGGATGGAGAAATTGGACAGATTTTTTCCTTCTGGAAAAGTGTCTAGCTTTGTCTTTCTCCACTGACAGTTCCCCAGCCGCTGCCCCTGGACCTCTCCGCGTGCCAGAGAACACGCTGGGGAAAGAGCCCCTCTGGCAAACATTCAGCTGGATGAGTTTGAGTTGGGCACCATGGAGCATGCAGCTTTCCCTGGCGTGTCCCATCCCCTGAGGTACCTGACCCTCTCTCAGGTGCTGGGGGAGCTTTTTTTTTTTGGGGGGGGGGGGGGTAACAGGTGCAGACTGGAACCTTCAGCAGCCCTCCCTCCTCCCAGAGCGTGGGGTGGGCAGGGGTGGTGACGAGGGAGTTGTGGTGGAGGCAGGCCCCACGGGGCATGAGGTGAGCCCTGCAGGGAGATGCAGCGCTGGGAAAGGAGGTGAGGAGGGGAGCAAGGCCGTGCAGGAGGCAGTGGTGAAAGAGGGCCGGGGGCTGTGGGGAAAGGGTGCTCCTGTTTTGTCGTGTTGGCCAGTGTGCGGTGACCTTTGGTTGAGCAATGAGTGAAGCACACACAGTTCGCTCCCTTGATAAGTACAGGGAGGGACTTTGCCTGGCCCTGCTGCAGGGAATCTATATAAGTGCTGGCGGGGCCGGGGAAGAGACCTCGCTGCTGCTACTTGCCCATCAGCCTGGGGAAAATGTTCCGCCTCTTCAGTCAAACCAGGCGCTGTTTGCAAGTGAAGCGAGCGCTGAAGAGGCAGGAGTGGCCTCTTCGGCCAGCACACCTCACAGCTGCCGCACAGCAGGCCAGGTGAGGGGCAGACTGGGGAGCTAGGCCTGAGGGTCGGGACATGGGGCACTCTCCTTCGCCCCTGCTGGGACGCTCTGGGAATCCTGGCAGCTCAGTCCCAGTCAGCTGGGAGTGTGTTTGAATAGCTCTCTGCTGGGGACTGACCTGACTTGCTGTACTCTGCACTCCAGCATGAGGGAGGCTTTGGCACTGCCAGAGAATGGGGATCTGACACAACAGCCACACTGAGATCTGGGAGAAGGGAGCGCAGTGCAAAGCTGGTACTGCATTAGGAGGCGATGTGAACAGGGTGAGGACAGAGCAGTAATACAAAGGGCCCGGGGTTTGACAATAACAGAGTGGAGGGACATAATCCCAAAGGCAGGTATGCAGGGGGAGGGAGAGTGCTGGGACCCAGGACGGGTGGAAGACCTGGGCGGGAGGGTGGCAGCTAACTAGACCCAAGTTTGCAGTCTGGGTTGGCTGCACATGCAAGGCCACCCTGTCCCACATCAGAGCGGGGAGAGAGCCTCTCTCTGCAGCCATGGTGTAGCTACATCTGGAGTATCCGTGCAGAGGGGCATCCAGCTGGACCCCAAAGAGAAGGATGACAATTTTTGGAAGCATTTCAGAGAAGGGCAGCAACAGGCTGGAGCTGAGGGAAAGCTGCGAAGATTATTTGAATAGTGACGTGATTTGAATAGTAACATGGAGCACTCACTGTACAGAGCACTTTGGGCCTGATGCCAAGCCAGTGAAGACAATGGGAGCCTCTCCATTGACCATGGCCTATGAATTGATCCCTTTTATACGTGAACTAATTAGGGTGTAAACAACAGAGCAGGAGAGGACTAGAGAGCTGGGAGTAGTGGTAGGGAATGTAGGTAAAGGCAATGTAATGGAGTATAAGGAGATCTGTTAGGCCGTGGAATAACACCCCAAGGAGCAGAAGGGAGCCCCCTGAGTTTGTCCATTTAACACACGACTGGCAAGAGGACTGGAGGGAACAATCCTTCACCAGCTGGGGGAACGGACTACTCAGAGCTGCAAAAAAAGCTTGTTCTTCTCCAAGTAGAGTAACAAACAGAGCTGTTAGTAATAGGGTTGCCAATTTTGGTTGGATGTATTCCTGGAGATTTCATTGCATGACATAATCTTTAATTCCTGGAGACTCCAGGCCAATCCCGGAGGGTTGGCAACTCTAGTTAGCTGTAACTGAAAACAAGGGGTGTCTTGGAATAAAACAAACACTGCCTTGGGGGTGGGGGGGGGGGGGACAAGTTCTATAACATGCAGATTCCCTTCTGGAGCACGAATCAAAGCAGCTCTGTGCATGTGTGGAGAGGGGCCCCTGCTGCTGCTTTGCAGACATCTGCAAATGGGGACATCTCTGAGACGGGCTGTGTAGTTAACAGATTGCTGCCTGCGAGGAGGCTGCTGTGCCCTCTCTTGGCTCTCCAGTCTGTGTTGGGTGGGGGTGTGCAGCCAGATATCACTGCTCGTGAGAGGTCTGCTGTCTCCTCTGGGGTCTGTCTTGGGACAGCGTGTGTTATATGCTGTCACAGTCTCAGGTGTCTGGTATGGCCTCCGTAGCCTGCACTAGGTCTGTGCGTGCACACATGCAGCTGGCTGTGCCCCTGGGGAGTCTGTGATCTCCTCCCACCACATGTCGGAGGACGCTCAGCACTCTCCTTCTCTTTCAGTTTCTCCACTGCTTCTGTGGAGCACTTGTCTCGGTCGGATTCATGGCCAAAGGACGTGGGGATTCTCGCGCTGGAGGTTTACTTCCCTTCACAGTACGTAGAACAAGTGGAGCTGGAGAAGTATGATGGTGTGGAAGCCGGGAAGTACACCCTGGGCCTGGGCCAGAAGCAGATGGGCTTCTGCTCGGCCCACGAGGACATTAACTCCCTGTGCCTGACTGTGGTGCAGCGCCTTGTGGAACGCAGCCGCCTCTCCTGGGACTCCATTGGACGGCTGGAGGTCGGCACAGAGACCATCATTGACAAGTCCAAGGCCGTCAAGACTGTCCTAATGCAGCTCTTCCAGGACTCGGGGAACACGGACGTTGAAGGCATCGACACCACCAACGCCTGCTATGGAGGCACAGCCTCCCTCTTCAACTCTGCTGACTGGGTGGAGTCCAGCTCCTGGGACGGTGAGTGACATCCAGCTAGCATGGGTGTAGATGCCACTGCTCTGCCACCCGGGGCCCAGCCAGGGCTGCCAGTGAGAGATGGCCAGTGGCAGTAGGGCAGGTTCTTGGGGGAATGGCTGCCCCGGCTTCATAGTGGTTGATACCCCAAACTGGTGGCCTTCCAGGCTCTGAACTGAGGCCTTGAGGGAGACAGTGTTTAGAAGATAGTGGGGGTTTGGTTTAGGGTTGCCAGGTGTCTGATTTTTGACCGGAATGTTAAAAGTCCAGTTGGTGGCATAGCGGGGCTAAGGCAGGCTCCCTGCCTGCCGTGGCTCTGCGCGGCTCCCAGAAGTGGTGGCATGTCTGACCCCAAGGTGCAGGGGCGGTGAGGGAGGCTCCGCGCGCTGCCCCATCCCGAGCACTGCTCCACAGCTGCCAGACATGCTGCCGCTTCAGGGAGCCATCTGAGGTAAGCCCTGCCCGGCCGTAGCCCATAGCCCACATCCCTTCCTGCACCCCAAACCCCTCAACGCTGGCCCCACTGCAAAGCTCGCACCCCGAGCCAGAGCCCACACCCCAACCCCCACCTCAGTCTGGAGCCTCCTCCTGCACCCTGAACCCCTCATTTCTGGCCCCACCCCAGAGCCCATACCCCCAGCTGGATCCTCATCCCTTCCTACACCCCAACTCCCTCCCCAGCCCTGAACCCCCTCCTGAACCCCAAACCCCTCATCCCTAGCCCCACCCCAGAGCCCACACTCCCAGCTGGAGCCCTCACTTCCTCCCGCATCCCAACGCCCTGCCCCAGCCGGGTGAAAATGAGCGAGTGAGCAAGGGAGGAGGAGAGGGAGGGGTGATGGAGTGAGTGGGAGTGGGCATTGGAGAAGGGGTGGAGCAAGGGCAGGGCCTCAGGGAAGGGGCAGGGCAAGGATGTTCTGGTTTCTGCCATCAGAAAGTTGGTAACCCTAGTTTGGTTACAAACTGGCAGTGTGCTCTCTGGGCTGGACCTGCTATACTGGAACTGAAGTGTCTGAATCAGGTCTGGTGCTGTGCCTGGCCTCTCTGTCTCCCCATGGCTTCCCTTACTGCAGCCTTGCTGGGAGCCCCCTGAGCAGCCACTGGGCCTTGCCTGGTGCAGCTGCTCAGCAGCTCCCCCGCTGGCTACCTGCAGTATCACAGGAGGGAGGAAAACAGCTCTGACTATCCCATTGCTGCATTGGAGCTACAGGGAGAGCAGGCTGGGAGCTTGGCTGCACCAGGAGCTGCGAGGAGGGAGGCACAGGAATTAGCTACACTCACTGGGGAATCCTCCTCATGGTCGGGGAATCACCAGCCAGGTGCTTGCCCAGGGTTTCTGCTCCCTGGGTGTGGAGCAGCTACTATTACCTAAGGACTTGGGGAGTGTCTGCAGAGATCAAAGGTCCAACTCTGTCTTGCAGCGGGGATGCCGGCTCGGCCTGCAGCCTCAGGGAGTGCTGTAGGGAACAGCAGGCTCCGGCTTCTGTTGCCGTTAAATCAGTGTCAGATGGAAGCAGAGTTGTTCAGTACAAGTTCTAGTTGCTTTAATGCAGAGCAGACATCCCAAGCAGTGCAATAGCAGGGGATGGGCCGCTCTGTGCTGGTTGGGGCCACTTGATGTTTTTTAAGCATGTTCAGCCCTCAGGCTGAAAGAGTTGAGCCCTGTTGTCTCCCATAATGAGGAACATGGCCAAGCGCCAGGCAAGCAGCCCGGCCTCTGTAGTCCCAGAGCTCCACAGTCCTGTCTCCATAGTCCTAACCCCTGCCCCCTTTTTGTGGGGTAGGTAGATGCACATCTGTGACAGTAAGGCAGCAGGCGACATCTGAAACCATGTCACCATGGCAGTTTGGCCATGCCCCTTTCTGCACAGGGGACCCTGTAAACGTCTGCTTGGCAGATTGGGACTTTAAAGGTGACTTTCAAAGCTTTCTTTCCCCGCAAAATTGCACTTGTGCCCTTTTCTTGATTTTTAGGATGTAAAGAGGGCTGGAAAGGCTTCTAAAGTTATCCTTGTGTCCTTGCCTTAAAAGGATCCAGACTCAGTGCTGGCTCTGGGCTTCCCTGGTTTGGTTGTAGGACCTCTTGGCTATTTCAGAGGATGTCTGTTGTTCTCTCTTGCAGGGATGTTGCATATTTAGCAAAGGCTTCCTTCCCTCGACACGTTACTTGCTGAAGTGAAGTCGATGCTAACAAAAGCAAACATGAACTAAACCCTTCATCTCACCTTGGGTGCCACTTTTTTGAGTCTTGTAATGTCCTGACTGCACGAGTTGTCTGGCAGCATCCCAGGCTTCCTGGCTAGGCCGCTCTTAATTTGTAACATACAAACAAGGAGGAAGAAACCTTTTTAAATAAAAAACTTAAACATGTCAGGCCCCCTTTATCCATCAAAGGGTCTATCCATCAAAGCAAAGGCGGTGGTGGTGAAAAGGGCACATGCTCAGTTTTGTTTCCCTTGCAGGTCACAAGTCTCAAGGGATTTTTCCACCTTACATATATGCAAACTTAACCGCAGTGTAACTTTTGGCAGAGGGATAAACAGAGTTTTAGACTTGCATGTGATTTTTTTCATGTTTATGCCTAACCAATTCTGTGTTCTCATCCTACCCTAGGGCGCTATGCAGTGGTGGTCTGTGGTGACATTGCAGTCTATGCCACTGGCAATGCCCGTCCCACAGGAGGGGCAGGAGCTGTAGCGATGCTGGTTGGACCAGAGGCCCCCCTGGTGCTAGAGAGAGGTTGGTACTGTTAATAGAATGACTTTGTCTTTCCTAGGAGTTTTTGGTGCTTGGCCAGAGCTGCCCAGGTTCTAGGAATAGGCCACTGTCCAGGGGCAGCTTAGCCCTGGAGACACGTGGTCCCAGGTTGTGTCTCTGGACATCAAACCTTCCTGAGCCTTGCAGCAATTGGTCTCCTGTGGAATTCATATTTCAGGATGAGGGAGGGACATGGGGCACTTCATGGCTCTTAATAAGATGATCAGTAATGAGTAAGGGCTATGGTTTTGGTCTGAAGTCAGTGGGAGCTGCTGTGTGCTCAGCACCCACTCAACTTGGGTTAATTCATAAGTAGGCACCTAAGAGCCTAATTCTAGGCTCCTTTTTTCAAAATCTTGGCCACTAAGTCTGTGTATGAAAAGAAAATTGTCGAGTACCAAGTCCAAGCTGCTGCAGTCTCCTCCATGCAGAGGTGAATTGTGCAAAGGAGGCCTTCATGAAAATAAAATGTAAAAGAGGAAAGAACTTCTCAGGTGCAGTCATCTTACCAGCCTGATGTCTGGCTCCTCAGAACTACTTAAACCTCATGGAAAGAGATATTTGGAGTGGTGCCCCAGTGCGTCAGTGCCTCCCTTTGACCAGACAGGGCACTGCACAAAGTCCGCTTGGATCAGCGGGGTGGTCAGTCCACTCTTCTTCTCTGACTCTCTGTAGTCCTGTTATGGGGTCAAAGATGTTAATTTCCATCCTACTGGGGTTTATGGACTTCCCCTTATGCTTGGCGGTGTTAGCTGGGCCTTGTCCTCAAGGGGCCGAGAACCCCCTTTGGCTGTTAAGGGGTAGGTGTGGGAACCCGGGCCCGCCCAGTCCGCTGGGTCCAACTCAGGGCCCTGAATCCAGGCAGGCAGAATCAGTCCTCCACAATTCTCCTGCTGTGCCCTGAGCTTCTTCCTACCTCCCTTGGGTCTGTCGGTTTCTGCAGCCTGTGGCTCTGGCTATTTTGTCTCTGGGTCATTGTCATTCTGGGGCAGCCTCTCACTAGCTTCCTGGCAGGACCCTCGGTCCCTGGCCTGCTTGCCTTCTCTGGCAGCCACCAACCGCTCTGCTTTTTAGCTCTGTTATTCTCCTAACTGCTGTGAGGCTGCTGATCAAGGTTGATCAGCAGTTCCTCTAGTAACTCCTTGGTTGCCAGGTCCACATGGGATCTACACGCCCCATGACATGACGCAACATGTAACATGGTCTTAAAGCTAATTGTGAAGAATTGCTGAATTTCCACAGCCGCCATCAGCCTCGTGGTTGGCTAAATAAAGAGAGACTGATTGAAGCCCCAGCTTCAAAAATATGTGGTGGCACTCTCAGAGAAACTATGTGTCAAGTGTGAATCGGCCTGGCTGCACTGAGGGCAGTGTAGCTATGTCACCTTTCACCAGCTGAGACGCTGGCCCTGTGTCTGTGCATTTCCATCCAGCTAGCATAAGTGTGGTGAAACTTGTCATAAGCATAAGGGCTTTGATGGAAACGGAGCATATGGTTTAGGCAACAAAGGAGTTTACTAAGAGACACTAAATTTGCAAAAACAAATAAAGGGTTTTTTGGAAGATCTTGCCAAATTACAAACCATGGACACAACTGTCCCAGGTCCAGTACACATGTGGCTTGACCTAATTAACAACAAAGGACTGGAAGTATACAAGAGATATAAAATAAATAAATACAAAGATCCAGAGAAGCGGAGATCTTTCCATAATCTGGCCAACATGACTGATCCAGGAACAGGCTACTTTAGCTGTGCCCATTCCCAGGACTCAAGTGTGTTATGGTTCAAACACACCTTTTCCCTGACATTTGGCAAATGGAGCAGGCACTGCACAGCCCTCTGTCTTACTCGTCACTGTCCAAGCTGGGATGAATCATACAAGAAAACAGAGCAATCTAAGAGCGCGGATATCAGACTCCTGCTGCCTGTGCACAGCTCAGGAAGCTTCCTAGCCGCAGGCCTGAAGCAGGCAGCGCAAAGCTGTATGAACTCAGACTGATGTTGATCTGTGTGAGAGCCACTGCCAGCAAACAATACATGTCCTTGTCAGTGATGTAGTCCCAGAGACCGCCTGTGTCACAGAGACCAGGTTGGGTGGGCGCGCTGGTGTCACGGACTCACAGGTCGTGCCCACGCTGGGCCCCGTACGGTCCCTGGGGAGAACCCCCTTCAGTGTGACAGCCGTTCTCAGGGGTCCACTCTCTCTCCGGGGTTAAACCCCTCCCCCTCCTGGAATCACACCTCTCTGAGCCTTAGCACGCCTGTCTCTCACCGTGGGCCCCCTCAGGGAGTCCACTCGCTCTGGACCCCTGGATCCTCCGCTCCCAGAGGGAATAATGCAACTCTGTTCTCTAGACCAGAGCGACTCTCAGCCAGTGTAAAACAGGAGAGTTTATTGAGCATCTGAATGCAGCATAGGAAACTCTCAGGGCCCTCCCTCAGCACAGTACATCTAAGTCTCCCCTGCATCCAGGTGGGCTCTGCCTGCTCTCTCCCTCCAGTCCTGAGCCCCCGTGCTTTCCAGCTGGGCATCCAATAACACCTCCCCCAAGTCCCGCCTCTGTCCTTTGTCTTCTGTCGTGGTAAACAGTGTGGCCTGGGCCTCCTCTCCTCTCAGCCGTCCTTTGCTCCCCACTGGCTGGAACTGACTGGTCAGGTCACCGGGGTTCTCTCTCTGCAGCCCATTGACCTCCCACTGGCTAGAACTGGCTGAGATTCCCAAGCTGGGCCTCCTGGTCACCAGTTGCTGGGGTATCCGTTCTCCAGGCCATTGGCTTGGGTCCCAAGTTCCGTTGGTGGTCCTCTGTAACAACAAACTCCCTCTCCCATCATCTCATTAAACCAGTAACACCCAGGGAAACTGAGTCCCACCCTGTCTGCATTGCAAACCATTGAAAAACCAAGAAATACCCAAGAGAATCCCCACTTCATCACAGCTGGCTCACTGTCTCCCCCAGCCTGTCTCAGGGCCAGGAACCAGGTGGCACTTCATTTGTCTTCTCTGCAAAGGTCCAGTTCAAATGAGGTACCTCTGATGAATGGCTTTAGATGACCTTGTCTTACCGGATGCTAGAACCAGGAGCCATTGCTAACCTAGAGCTCACGTTCACTACGGGTTCACTACATTGACCCTTGTTAACAATGCTGGCGCATGCCCCAGACTTGGTGTCCTGGGAGACGTTAACATGCGTGCTGACAAGGCCTCCAATGCTAAAGCCTAAAGTCCTCACTTGCAGCCCTCGGATCTCACAGGCTGTCTCTGGTCCAACCCACACAGTGTGTCACACCTAGGTCTTTGGAGTCGATTCGCTGCTGATCACATCACAGCCCAGTCACTGGCTGGGCTGGAACTTCACCTCCGTCAGGCAGCGACCGGGCAGCTGTGAGAGCTCTGACAAGGCCCGTGAGCCTGACCTGATCACACAGCCTCTTAGATGCTGTTGAATTCCAGCACAGCCGCCCGCCCAGCACAGAATGGGGAGTCGAGGAACCGGTGAATCATCATCCTGGTACTGCCACCTTGACCTCTGACACACTGTCTCCCCACCCCCACAGCCCCTCCATCTCTGTCACCCAGCTGTTCCCAACTCTGAGCTGGATGGGGGATCGGAATCTGGAGTGTGGATGGCAGAAAATGAAGGCTGAAGCAGATTGAAACACACAGCTGCCCCAGGCCTAAGCTGAGGCTGTATTACAGGCCCTGAACTGTCCTATCTGCCTCCATAGTAGCTGCCTTAAGGAGCTGTCCAGGATGGTAAACAGCTTCCTCAGTCCTGAGGGCCTACAGCCTGCACCAGAGCCCAGCGCCAAGGACTGCAAAGAACCATTGTCCTGCTGCACTGAAATGTTAATGCCCGTTCAGGAAGGCTTCAAAACAGGGCCCTCTCTGCCTGTATCCAGCCACCAGCAGCCCATTCCTGGAGTTCAGCACATTCACTCCTCGGGGAAGGCTGGAAACCCTACAGCAGCTTGAATCCACCCCAGGCCCTTCCTGGCTAGTGAAGGAGAGTCCTGAGCAACCAGCCTCATTCAGGGAAGGAATCTTCCCTTCCCCCTTCAAACACGCAACCGTCCAAGCAGCACTGAAGAAACCTGCCCTGGACACATCGGTTCTAGCTGGGCACTGTCTAGTATCAATCTCCCACTCCTGAGCAACCTCGCAGAGTCATTAACCAAAGGCCAACTATATGCCCATCTAACTGAAGCTAATATTCCAGACCTGGCATAATCTGGATTCGGGGCAGGATATGGGCCTGAAAGTGCTTCAGTGGCACTGCTGGATGAACTCCTGCTGTCAGTGGATAGAGGGCAGACATCCAATCTCAGCCTCCTTGATTTCTCTGCAGCATTCCCCACGGTCAGCCGTGAGGTACAGCTGTCCTGCCTCTGAGAGGTGACAGGTCCCGGGGAGCGCACTAAAATGGTTTAAATTCATCCGGTAGGGACACACTCAAGCAGCAGTGATAGGAAACTGCACTGCTGCCTCTGAACCCATCGCTGGTGGAGTCCCTGATCCTAAGTCAGCATCTACATGCAGCCCCTAGGTGAATTGGTCAGAGGACATAGACTCAAGTGCAGCGATATGCAGATGACACACCGCTCTGCCTCTCCTTCACCACATACAACCACACCACTGTCACCAGGATGGCCAGTGCTGGCGGCCAGAGGAAGCACTTTGAGGAGTTTGCAGCCATGGTGGCACAACTGGTCAGCTTAGTCCATAGCTTAGGAAGCTCCTGAATTCCTTGCTGACGCTGAGCTCTCATGTGGCAGTGTCCATGAGGAACACTTTCTGCTATCTCCATCTGGCTGGGGAACTCTGCCCCATGCTGGCAGATGACAGCCTGGCCCCAGTTGTACACACCTTCATCACCTCTCGGATGGGCTGCAGCAGTGTGGTACACCTGGCCATGAAACCGGCAGCACTTAGTAAACTCAAGCTAATATAGGATAGGGCATCACATCTCCTCAGCAACATGGGATGCCATGGGCCCAACAAACCATCCTCTGCCCCCTATGCCAGCTTCCCATAGAATATCGGGTTCACTGCCTGTCAAGGTTCCTTCCCCACTCTGAACTCTAGGGTACAGATGTGGGGACCTGCATGAAAGACCCCCTAAAGTTATTCTTGCCAGCTTAGGTTAAAAACTTCCTCAAGGTACAAACTTTGCCTTGCCCTTGAACCCTATGCTGCCACCACCAAGCGTGTTAAACAAAGAACAGGGAAAGAGCCCACTTGGAGACGTCTTTCCCCAACATATCCCCCCAAACCCTTTACCCCCTTTCCTGGGGAAGGCTTGATTAAAAATCCTCACCAATTTGCATAGGTGAACACAGACCCAAACCCTTGGATCTTAAGAACAATGAAAAAGCAATCAGGTTCTTAAAAGAAGAATTTTAATTAAAGAAAAAGTAAAAGAATCACCTCTGTAAAATCAGGATGGTAAATACCTTACAGGGTAATCAGATCCAAAACATAGAGAATCCCTCTAGGCAAAACCTTAAGTTACAAAAAGACACAAAAACAGGAATATACATTCCATTCAGCACAGCTATTTTACCAGCCATTAAACAAAAGGAAATCTAACGCATTTCTAGCTAGATTACTTACTAACTTAAGGAGTTATGAAGAGCATTCCTGATCTGTTCCCGGAAAAAGTATCACACAGACAGCCAGACCCTTTGTCCCTCCCCAGCTTTAAAAGTATCTTGTCTCCTCATTGATCATTTTGGTCAGGTGCCAGTGAGGTTATCTTAGCTTCTTAACCCTTTACAGGTGAAAGGGTTTTGCCTCTGGCCAGGAGAGATTTTATAGCACTGTATACAGAAAGGTGGTTACCCTTCTTTTTATATTTATGACACTGCCTCAGTCCTTACCTTCCAGGTGCTCGATCTCTGCTTTGTCCCAGGGTATCTAAGAGGCCAGGCTTAAAGCTCCAGGATGAGGACTGTGGTCGACAACTTTGCACCTCAGGCCTCCCTCCCTACTATAAGGGAAAACTCGTGTGTGTGTTGGAGACTGAGCTTTCTCGGGGGCTGGGCTGGAATGAACTCCCCTAGGAACCCAGGACCATCCCATCCTTCACCACCTTCCCTTCCCAGTGCCCAACACATTTCTTTGATCTGTCTTCTCTGTTATAAGCACAGAGCAGCACGTACATATTTATATAAAAACACTCCAAGCACTCCGCCACACTCAGAATTTCCCCTTTAGAGGGAGGCTAAGAGAAAGTGGGCCACACGCACAAGATGTTAGTCGTGTTGCGTTATGCACAACTGGAAGGTGCTCAGATACTACACGGACAGGGATGGTAGAAGAATCTACCTACCTTTCCAGTCTATCCAGAGAAGGTTCTCTTCATAGAAAAGATCTCAAATATGCAGGCTATAGAATGAGGTCAGAGCAGGAAGAGGAGGTGGAAAAGTGGCTCATGAAATATAATTTTGTGAATTTTACGGGATGAATATTTTGTGTGTAAAGGGCTGTGGTGGGTTTTGGTTGAGAGGTTCGTTGCAGGTGGGGGGCTGGTATGGAGAGGGTTTGAGGTTCTGTTCCCCTGCTGTCTCCAATACGCAATGGTGAGCCTGTTTTCTCTCCTCCAAGGTGTTCGGGGAACCCACATGGAACATGTATATGATTTCTACAAACCAGACCTGGCTTCAGAGTATCCCATGGTGGATGGGAAACTCTCTATCCAGTGCTATTTCCGGGCCCTGGATCAATGCTATTCTATCTACCGCAAGAAAATCCAGAGCCAATGGCAGAAAGGTACAGAGCCTACAAGTGAAGTGGGAAATCTTGTGTGTGCGACAGGTTAGACAAACACCTGTAAGGGATGGTCTAGGTTTCCTTCGTCCTGTCTCAGTGCAGGGGGCTGGATTAGATGGCCTCTCAAGGTCCCTTCCTGCTGGACATTTCTATTATTCCATGTCAGCTGGGGTACCTGCTCCTCTGCCTCTGTGGAGCCCACAGTATGTCTCTCTGTCTCCCCCATCACCCCCATTGTGTCTGTCTCCCCCACCCCACGTTGTAGGGCCTGTGGATTTCTGGGTAAGAGGACAAAGAGGTCAGAGACTGGAGGGGCCAAGAGTGATGGGAATGCATTGGTGGGGATAGGAAGTGGAGACACCAGAAGTCCATGAACCTGTAATTTGTTGGCCTCTGACCAGGCTGGTAGACAAAGTGGTGGGAGAGCGGTTGGAAAGAAACTAGTTAATGCGAGGCCAGGGGCCAGGCCTGGCTGGGTGATCAGACAGACAGCACATGTTGAAATGGTGGGTGCTGTTTCCTCCATCTGAGGAGAGTTTATAACCCATGTTTCCCTGCTGTGACCCATCCAGGGCTCTGTGCCCGGGGAGCTCGCTGGCGGCAGCATGCCAGAGCCATGAGGGCCTTCCCCATCGGACAAAAGTGTGAGCGCCTGGCTGCATGGGCTTGTGCTGAATAGCCATTGTAACCAGCCCACTGCCCCAGAACAGAACAGGCCCCTAGACTGAGCCCAGGTAGTGGTAGTTGAGTCTGCAGCACTCATAGTTTGCTGGATCGAGAGAGCCCTTCCAGCTCCAGGGGCCAGTCCCTTTTCAAGGTAGCTCCTGCAGCAGGAAGGGTGAGACTCTGTGCCAGAGAGCTGTGAGGAACTCTCCTGCCCTAGTTTAGTATGAGGGTGAATATATCTCCCCATATTGTCCCCATTTCTGGCATCCATGGGGTTGTTGGTGTCTCCTTATGCAGCATTGGAAGGCTGTGGGTCTCTTCCCCACCCACCCATCCCATTGCCTTCTGTGGGGCAGGTCTATGGGTCTTTGCCTTCAGTGCCTGCTGCAAGTGCTGCGGCTCTCTGTGCAGAGTGGGATTGATGGGTCTCTAATGGGTGGCTTCTGTCTCCTGTTCTGCTGCAGTGGGGGTGGACAAACCTTTTACCCTGGAAGACTTCCAGTTCATGATCTTCCACACGCCCTTCTGCAAACTGGTGCAGAAGTCTGTGGGGCGAATGATGCTCAACGACTTCCTAGCAGCTCCCAACCCCGACACACAGAGCGGCCTCTACAAAGGGCTGCAGGCCTTCAGGTGGGTGAGCGCTACAGAGCAGGAGTGGCCTCTGCCAGGGGTGTGGGAGTCTCTGGGCTGCCGACATCCATGGAGGGGCAATTCCGCTAGTGGGGGCTGCAGAAAATTGGAGTGTGGTCCACACATCTGTGGTACATCCCCCATAGGGACTGTGCAGGGAAAGATTCTTTTTCAATGTCTGTTGATAACGATACCCAGCTTTAAGTTAGCACTTGTCATCTGCAGAGCTGTACAAAGCAGTTCAGCAGCATTCTCCCAATTTTACAGATGGTGAAACTGAGGCTCCGAGAGGGGAAGTGACTTAACCAGCAGGCCAGTGGCAGGGCCAGGAATAGAACCTGGTCCCCTGAGTTCCAGTCTCATGCTCCATCCACTAGGCCATGTTAGGAGCATCTTGGTGGGAACTGTTTTTTCCTTGGGGCGCTGCGGACGCTCAGCGGGGAGGTTATTGCAGGAAGATTTTTGGGGTGAGTGTGTGATTTCCTTAGCGAGGGCAGCAGGTGATGGGGAGGCAAAGGGTGCCCTGGCAGGGTGTTGGGTGTCAGAGTACGTCTTACTCCTCTGGCAGGGGCTGATGCATTATGGCAGGCAGCATTTCAGTGTGAGGGTCTGCAGACACTCAACTCTGTAAGCTGGGGAGGCTGGCACATGGAGGGTGGGGCGGGGGCAAGGCTCGCATGGGAGCTGCAGGCATTCAGAGGGGTCTGAGTCCTCTAGCTAGTGGATGTTGGGACGAGTAGGGCTCCTACCTCAAGGGATGCCTGCGGTCAGGTGGGACGTGGCTCTCTGCTATTTGCTGTGTTGAGGTTTGGGAGAGCGCTGAGTGCATGTGACCATAGAGCCAGAGTCAGTGGACAGGAATGTAGCAGCAGCACCGAGAGATCCCCAGTCATGGACCAGGACCCCACTGTGCTACGTGCCACACAGACACGGAACAAAGAGCTGCTCCAAAGAGTTCCAGTCTAAGTGTGAGAAAGGACAAGAGGTGGATACAGTCGGGGAGCAGAAGGAAACAGTGAGACAATGCTGGTCAGTGTGATGAGCAGGGGTCTCAGCACACTGACTGCCTAGCTGCGTCAGGTGTTTTGCAGGCATCGTGGCAAATTGGCTATCCTGGCTGGATTGGGGCTAATGATTCTTTGGGAGAATCGTTTTTCTCTTGAGAGATGAGGATTGTTATCGAAGAGCTACAGATTGTTGTTTGCCAAGGAAGCATTGGTAGCAACTCGGTAATGAAGCCTGAGCGGAGCTGTGCACTGAAAGCAGGGATTCAACCACTTTGTTATGTATGAAAATACAGCAGCTCCTCCCATCCCTGGAGTGGCTGCTCTCTGAGAGCAGAATGAACTTTCAGAGAATTTACAAGGCAATCTATTAGTTTAGGAATCGCATTTCTTAAAGGAGGTATTTTTAATTTTATACCAGACTTTTTTTTGCCCCTAATAATCTCAGTAACAGAATAACACTGACTCTTCAAACTTCCCATGGAGTTAAAACGCCCTGGAATCTTGTGCACAGGCTCAAGCTTATAGACTTTAAGGCCAGGAGGGACCATGGTGATCATTTAGTCTGACCTCCTGCACATGGCAGGCCACAGAACCTTGCCCACCCACTCCTGTAACAGATCCCTAACCTCTGGCTGAGTTACTGAAGTCCTCAAATCATGGTTTAAAGACTTCAGGTTACAGGGAATCCACCATTTACACTAGTTTAAACCTGCAAGAGACCCATGCCCCATGCTGCAGAGGAAGGTAAATAATTGGATTCATGATAATTTCCCCCCCATCATTCTTCATAACTGAAGGTTTCTCCTTCTGCAGAGGCTGAAGGTAGGGTGACCAGGTAGCACGTGTGAAAAATCAGGACCGGGGGCAGGAAATAGGAAACTATATGGGACAAAGCCCCAAATATCGGAACTGTCCCTATAAAATTGGGATATCTGGCCACCCTAGCTGAAGGTTAGTGGTCTACTAGAGAAGTCCATGAACTACCCTTTTTCAAAATGGCTGCTATCTCCTATTGTCCTCAGTAGGACGGAAGTGCCTCCGCACACCCGGGGGGAGTGCCATCTTCCCTGAGTGCTGCTGCAGTTTCAGTCCTGTGGAGGACAATGGGAGATGGGAGCCATTTTGAAATGGGGCAAATTCTTTGTGACAATCTTTCCGTTATGAAAAATAGGGGCAAAACATGGCCATCAGTCGAAATAGCTTTTCAAAAACTGCCCATTGCATCAGCTCTACTCAACAGAAAGGTCAGATTTCGGGGGCAGGAACTAGGGCGTTTGTGTGTTTGTGCAGGGTGTGTGTATGTGCAGCTGAGACCATCCCAATCCCACGTAAGGGATGCCAAAAATGGGGGAAAAAACAACAATAAGGCTTTTAAAGAGACAAGGTGGGGGAGGTAATATCTTTTGGAAGCTGGTCCAATAAAAGATATGACTTCAACCACCTTGTCTCTCTGATATCCCGGGACCGACACAGCTACAAGGACACTATATGCCTTTTAAAATCAGTTTAATCTTATCTGAGTCAATAAACATGAAAAAGCCTCAATCATACTTGTGTGATCTCACAGTTAAGGGCAATTGCACCTGTATTCCCCTTCCATGGTCCAGCCAGGGCACTCACTCTCAGGCTTCTTGCTCCCCAGCCGTCACCTCTCTGGGGCAGAGACACGTGTTTCTCTCCCTCCTGTCTTTTCTGGCTGCATCATTCCCTGCCTACACTGTGAATCCCCCAGCAAGTCAGATGGCCTAAACACACCTGGTTTGTTTTTCTCCTCAAAGGCTCTGATCAGTGTAATTGTTCACAGCTGAGTTACCACCTAGCTCTTTCTAAGCAAGAACATTTATTCTTAAGATAAAAGTGTTACAGAGAAAACACTGCAAACAATAAAGGAACCTATGCTCAAGCTAATAAGCTCACCAGAGATCACCCCCTGTCTCTAGCAAGGGCTCTAGCAGGCAAACAGTCATTCAAGCCCCTCCAAGTGGCTTTTCTGTGGTTATAGGTCCATAACCACCTTGGCTGAGAGCAAGCCCACCAGTGAATCTGTGAGTCCCTCTTTTATCCAGCTGGGACCTCTCATCTTGTCCTCCTATAACAGGTGAGCTGCAGACAATAGGTTACTCCTGAGGGCACAGTTAAGAGAAAGGCCAGAGATGAGAAGTTGCCTCCCCCCACAAGTATTTCCTGGGAAACCTACTCAACTAAAAGTTCAGCCTTGTCTGGCCCTGTCAAGTTTCCTTCCCCACTCTGAACTCTAGGGTACAGATGTGGGGACCTGCATGAAAGACCCCCTAAGCTTATTCTTACCAGCTTAGGTTAAAAACTTCCTCAAGGTACAAACTTTGCCTTGCCCTTGAACCCTATGCTGCCACCACCAAGCGTGTTAAACAAAGAACAGGGAAAGAGCCCACTTGGAGACGTCTTTCCCCAACATATCCCCCCAAACCCTTTACCCCCTTTCCTGGGGAAGGCTTGATTAAAAATCCTCACCAATTTGCATAGGTGAACACAGACCCAAACCCTTGGATCTTAAGAACAATGAAAAAGCAATCAGGTTCTTAAAAGAAGAATTTTAATTAAAGAAAAAGTAAAAGAATCACCTCTGTAAAATCAGGATGGTAAATACCTTACAGCGTAATCAGATTCAAAACATAGAGAATCCCTGTAGGCAAAACCTTAAGTTACAAAAAGACACAAAAACAGGAATATACATTCCATCCAACACAGCTTATTTTACCAGCCATTAAACAAAAGGAAATCTAACACATTTCTAGCTGGATTACTTACTAATTTAACTGGAGTTGTAAGGCTTCATTCCTGATCTGTTCCTGGCAAAAGCATCACACAGACAGATCCTTTGTCCGTCCCCCCCCATTTGAAAGTATCTTGTCCCCTCATTGGTCATTTTGGGTCAGGTGCCAGTGAGGTTACCTTAGCTTCTTAACCCTTTACAGGTGAAGGGGTTTTGCCTCTGGCCAGGAGGGATTTTATAGCACTGTATACAGAAAGGTGGTTACCCTTCCCTTTATATTTATGACAGGCCCATTGTTTCAAAGAGTCCCTTGAAGATCAGAACACTGCCAGGGTTTGCATTCGTCCCGGCTCCCTACTAGAGACATTCCAGACAACCCCCCAGGAATACATGAACATTTTCATTTTTAATACAGTGAACTCCTAAAATGCTTCAACCTGATTCAGTCAAGCTTGGTGAGGATACACAGGTAATTGCCACATCTGTCACCTACGGTTCTCGTGTTGTCAGCATGGGGCAGAGTTCAGCTTTTCGCTGCCGCAGAGAGATTTAGTTCCGCTGTTAAAAATAACACATTCAAGTACACCCTGTGTCCAAGAGTTCACTGTCTGGGGAGAGGCCAAGACGAGGCAAAGTTCAGGCTGTTTGGGTGCCTAGCTGCATTTCCAGACTGTAACGTGTGTGGATTTGTTTGACTTTACCCTACCTTCTGAATTTCCTGAGTTTGGGAGAACGCCACCATCCCACTTGTATTTCACCCCAAGTAACAGGTCTGCACTCCCAGCCTTGATGGAATTGTTTGCTGTCTGGGAGCTGTACTACTGCTATGGCAAGTGAGATTTCCCACGGAGGCCATGACCACGTGGGGCACAGAGGTGTCCCTAAAGGGCATGTGGGCTTTTGCAGCAGGTCAGATTTCCATGGGGGGATGGTAGCTGTTTGGTGAATGACAGTTCTGTGTCGGGGGTATTGAGGTTTCTCTAATGCCAGCTGCAGGCGTCTCCCCAGATAATGCTGAGTGCTCCTTTCTGCTCTGCATCCCTACTGAGTGACTGGCATGAGGCTGAACACAGCAGGTCTGTGTCTGCACTGGCAGCAAAGGCATGATGAGTATCATGTCACCCAGCTCGATTGCTAAAAATGGAAACACAAAGTGGGTGTGGGAGCAGCAGCTGTTCGAGGGGCTCAAGACTTTCTAGCCGGGCTCCGGGGAGTGTGAGATTTCCCTAGCTGGTGCCATGGCCCATCAGGCAGGTGAGATTCTCTTCCAGGGGCAGCGACTGTCCAGGAAGGGGAGCGATTCCCCAGTAGGGACTGTGCAAATTCAAGCAGGGTGCAATGTGAGTAGACAGGGCTGCAGGACTACAGGCTGGCGGCACTTCAGTAGCCGATATTTGCAGAGCTGCCAGCCATCGACCCTTGCTGTTATCCACACAGTCCGCTGTGGGGAGACGGATAGCCAGAGGGGATTCGTGCTGGGCAGCTGGTGCATTTTCTCAGTGCAGTTGGTCCCCTTGGCTGCTGAACCCACGAGTGAACCTCCTCCTCCCTCTTCCCAGGGGGGTGAAGCTGGAAGACACCTACTCCGACAAGGATGTGGAGAAGGCCTTTCAGAAAGCTAGCTTGGAAATGTTCAGCCAGAAAACCAAGCCCTCGCTGCTCCTCTCCTCTCGCAATGGCAACATGTACACCCCGTCTATGTATGGCTGCCTCGCCTCCCTCCTCGCACAGTGAGTGCCAACTCTAAGCATCCCTTTCCGCCGAGCCCTGCCCCACCCCTGCGTCCCCAGGCCTTGGGACTCCCACAGCCCGGCAGAGAACAAGCCAAAGGGTTGGGCACAAAGCCGACTTTCAGTTGGGGTCTGAGCCTGCAGCCTTTGTGCTGAGCAGCAGTTACTCCTCGTCCAAAGGGTCTTTCTCAGCTTCTGAGCCGCAATGCAGGGAAGACTGAAAGAAGAGCTGTGATTTTTCCAGGTCTCTGCCTGGGGTTACGTTTTTTTAAAAACTGGAGCAAAAATGACTCAGCCATTTGAGTACCAAAGCTGTGTGTGTGTGTGTATGTTGGAGTGGTTGGGCATGTGTGTGCACACAAGCAAGAGTACGTGTGCACATGTGGATGTATGTGTGTGTGTGGGCGGGCATTTGTGCGGTGTGTGCGGATGCGGGCGTGTATGTGTGTGTGCGTGAGCATGTGTGTGTGCATGCGTGCAAGCAGGCAGGCGTGCGAGCATGTGCGTGTTTGAGAGCAGCGGGGTATGTGTGCTCAGTCGTTCATGTGCGTGCATGTGAGTGGGCAGATGCTTGAGTGCATGCATGTGTGTGAGAATGGGTATGTGTGTACACATGAGCAGGTGGGGGGGGGCGCAGTTTGCCATTATAAAATATTTGTTCTTGCAACCTTCTCCTGACTTGCAGTTACTCCCCATCAGGAGAGCTCGGCCCGAGAAGGGGGCACATTGCAGGGTTGCACAGTGACCTTTTCTCTGCCATGACCTGTCTGTGGGTTTTTCCCTTTCAGTGCTTCACTCTGCAACTTTAAAGGTCTTTTTATTTCATTCCTTGCATAGAGTTGCCTGGAACTGCATGCCCAGCTCTGTGCACCTGTCAGGGGAGGGAGACCACGCCCCAGAGACACCCTCCTTGGGTGGGCTTCATGGAGCTAGATGGGTGGCTCCATCTGCTTGCTCCCTGCCCCCCTCAGAGAGCAGAGGCTTTCTCTCCCAGCAGCGAGGGCAGCCACAGGAATTTCAATTAAATCCAAGTTATCGGTGCCGTTTAACCAGACCCAGTGTGTGTCAGAGGCAGAGGGGAAAGAAAAGACTCAGCCCCTCTGAGGGTGGGGTAGACCCTGCTCCTGCAGGTTGGCAATCGTGCACTTCAAGGATGATGGTGCTAACTGTGCTTTACAGAGCCTGCCTGCACCTGGCCCTTAGCGCACTCTCTCCCCCACAGCTCCTAGTTCTGCCCAAGACACAGCAGCGTCCCCTGCTCTCCCTGCTCTCATGCACACTAATGCTCCCCGCAGTGCTGCTCGTCTAGCCTCTGGTTTTTATATCACGCCCATCACCAGGGTATCTTGGCTCCTCATGCATGCTCTCCCAGCTGCTGTCTTGAGGCATGTCTGAACCTGATCCTTCTAGGCCCCACTTCAGGGAGCCTGCTGGTATGGAAAGCCTGGAGACAGTTTCTCCCTGCAGTAACTGCAGATCTGGTTTCCTGGTGGCTCAGACGCAGGTGACGCTCCTTTACCTCACTCGTCATCACCAAATCAGCCCACAGCGGTGCCCACTTGCAACTCCAAAACCTGCTTCTGCTCCTCGCCTGGATCCCACAGTCCTTAACGCCAGTGACAGGAGCAGGAGGCAAAACTCTTCTGCCCTTCTCTGCCTGCTTCCTGGGGTTACCTGCTGTCATGCAGGGGGATCTTTTCTATTTTATGGAGGTACAGCCTAGGTTCAGCCCGGGGGCCGTTTCTGGTTGCCCCCCACTGATTTAAAATAAAATCTCTGATTTCCAGCATGTCCTGGGTCAGAGTAGCTCACCTACAGCCCGCACACTGCCCCCTGGGACGTCAGCTTGCCAGGCCGTGTGGGTAGCGCCCAGGATTTGAGGCGTCTGCCCTTTAGCACGGATGTTCTCCACTGACAGCTTGGTTTGAATTGCCACAGATACTCTGCTCAGCAGCTGGCTGGCTCCAGGATTGGGGCCTTCTCCTATGGCTCGGGATTGGCTGCAAGCTTGTTTTCCATGCGTGTCTCGCAGAATGCTGCCCCGGGTGAGTCCCTTCCTATTTCCTCCCCTCGCTTGTCATCGGACGCCTTAGGTGGCAGTGATGGCTGTGGAGGGTCATCCTGCCTGCTCTGGCCTGGGGATGAGGCTTCGGTTCCCAGCCCAGCCCTAAGCCTGGGGAGCTCCTGAGTCCCCAGCCCGGACATGGTTGTAAATATCCTGAGTGCAGGAGCAGATAGTGCAGGGTGGGGGCCGGAGAGTGGGCCTGGACAACCCCCGTGTTGAACGGGTTTTGGGGGGGTTGCCTTCCAGTGGGCGGCAGTAAAGGGGGACCCTGGAACTGCCACAGCAAACCTGATCCAGAATCCAGCCACTCTTGACTGATATAGCGGCCAGCACCCACTGCTCCAGAGGCAGGTGCACAAACCCGGGGGGCAGTTAAGGGGTTGCTTGTCCATGGTGTGGGTGTGGGCAGGCCCCTGAGCAGCTGGCTAAGATTGGAATGTGACCTGACTCACAGTGTGACTTCAGAAAGCCCTAGCGAGGGACACTGTCCCAGCTGGGCTTCCACACTCATCCCGAGCTGGGTGCTGGGATCGGAGCTCAGGCCACCACACAGTGTGGTGAGGTGAGATTCATTAGGGATTCTTTGTCGGCTTCTGAATGGCTTTGCCCACCTGGGGAAGGAGACAGATGGTGTACAGGGCCTGTGGGGACAGCCTTGGTCTGCAGGGGGAATTACCTGGACACCCGTCCCCTGCAGGGGATCTGCGACCTGATGGGGCAGTGTTCATTGGTTATGGATCCCTTGGGTACTCTCGGCTTCCCTAGCCCTGATTTGCTCGCTCTCTCACCAGGAGACTCTCTCTTTGCCAGGTTCCCCCCTGGACAAGCTGCTCTCCAGCCTCTCTGACCTGCAGACTCGCCTGGATGCCCGGAAGCAGGTCCCCCCAGAGGAGTTTGCAGAGATCATGAAGCAGAGAGAGGAAACCCATCACCTGGGTGAGGAAGCACAGTCAGAGGGCCCAGCTGCAGCCAGCACTCTGGTGCTGACACCTCAGTGGGGCTGGACTGCCTAATGTTGGGCCTCTAAATCCTCAGGAAGGGGCCTGATTTTCAGTCATGCTGAGCACCTCCAGCTCCTCTCAAAGGGTGGGTGGGAGTGGAGGAGGGTGCAGGTTCGGGCCTGCGACCCCTGCCCATGGCGACTATTACTGGGAAGCCCCTGCTGCTGCTTGGGGGGGCTGAATCCGAGTGGAATCTGCGTGATGGCCATCCAGGAAACATCAGTGCATATCAGTGAACTCCAGCAGCTGCAAGTTACTGGCAGACAATACACATGGAACCGCACATGGTCCCCTCTAGGGACATGCCTGAAAACCCTTGGGGTAACAGAAAAAGGGCAGGTGTCTCTTCACCCTTCTAAGGGCAGGCTGGCCTTAGATTCAGTGTCCCAGGCATGATGGAGAAATTCCTACTGACATCCTAATCCTGCAATAGACACTGGCCCCCTTGCTAAACCACCATGAACAGCTGGACACACACATCCCTTCGTTAATTACCTGGCAATGCTCCCTTACCACTGGCCCTCCTTCTTCTTTTGATTCTGTACAAACTAAGTCCAGGGAAACAAGGTCTCTTCTGCCCTAAGTACCCTTCTTCCCTGCTGGGGAAGCATGGGACCCCCCTCTCTCCCGCAACCTCTGAGTGGAGGTGCAGGCCAAGGCTTTGGAGGATCATTTGAGGCCCTCACCTGCCAGGAGCCTTACTGAGCTCAGATGTGCTGCGTCCATCATCTAGTGTCTGTGCTGGAGAGCTGGCTGGCTGGAGCTTTCTGGAGCCAGTCTGGCCAGAGCGCCTTCCGGCTCCCAAGTAGTGTATTTGCAGGCAGCGGGGGCCAGTAGCTGGAGCCCAGGACTGGAAGTCAGGAGACCTGGCAGCTGTTCCCAGTTGTAGCATTCATATCATCTCATCCCTGCCAGGGCTGCCCAGTCAGAACTGCGCTGGGAGCCTGCAGGGAGATCCAGACCTCAGGGTCACGCCTCCAGCAGCTGCCCCTCTCCCCGTGGCAATGCTGCCAGGTTGTTTACAGCCCCAGCACCAGGGGATCCTGCCCCACAGTTGCAGCACCCTGGAGCAGCCACGCTTCAATCCCGTTCCTCTCTCTGCAGTAAGCCACACTCCCCAGGGCTCTAAGGACGACCTGTTCCCTGGCACCTGGTACCTGGAGCGAGTTGATGACAAACACCGCCGGCAGTATGCCAGGAGGCCACTCTAGGGGGGACAGGCTGCCAGGTGGGTCTGAATCCTCCTTGGGGGCCTGGTGGTTGCAAGACAAACAAAGGCAGATGGGGAGTTGGGCGACTGGGGTGGAGGAACAGGGAATCAAGGCAGTACTTGGAGGAACTTCCTTTCTGAGTCCATTTCTCCTGGGGCATGGGAAGAACAGGGACTCTGGAGATTTCCACAAGGCAAGGATGATTCCAGTTGGAACAGAGAAGGTCTGGGACCATCCAGCAGCTGGGTGCTCATCAGAACATTAGGAATGGCCAGACCCCTGGTCCAGCTAGCCCAATCTCCTGTCTTGGACAGTGGCCAGAGCCAGTTGCTTCAGAGGAAGGTGTAAGAACCTCACAACAGGCAGAGGTCATGTAATCTCCCCACCATACTGGGTCTCATCCTGGTCTCCAGCAGTTGGAGATTGGCTTACGCCCTGAGGCAGGAGGTTTGGTGTCCCATCCCAAATGTTTGTCATTGCTGATCATATGTCTGGATTCCCCTGATAGACAGATAAAGGTCTAGTCCCTCTTTGAGTTCTGTGAAATCCTTGGCAAGATGCAAAAAGGGACTGGCTGGTGGTCAGTCTGGGCTCTTCTAGTTCTTCTTCCTCGTTTCACATGTTCCTTGCATGTGTGTGTAGACACTTCAGTGCACTACACCTCTCGGTCTTCACCTGCTCTTTGAGGGCAGCTCCACCTGCTGCCTTACTCAGTGCTAGTGACCCAGCAGCTGCTGCCAGCATAGAGCTTGAGTTTCTCACTCCTTACCCAGCAACATGCAACACTGTTCTAAATCTGGGCAGGGTTTAGCAGGGGGAAAATGCCCTTGGAGAGAGGAGCTCACAGAGGGGAGCTGAGTGAAATTGGGAATTTCCATCTTGACATTTCAACCTTTTGTTTGGTCCTGAAATGGGACAAAAGGTTGGAATTTCCCATTGAACAGCAAGGTCTAAATCAGGAGTGGGCAAACTATGGCCCGCCGGCTGCATCTGACCCATCAGGGCTTTGGATCTGGCTTGCGGGATTGCCACCCCTGTGGCGCTGCGGGGCTAAGGCAGGCTCCCTGCCTGCCCTGGCCCAGCTTCCAGAAGCGGCCGGCACCATGTCCCTGCGGCCCCTGGGGGAGAGGGGCAGAGGGCTGCACGCTGCCCTCTCCTGCAGGCACCACCCCCTGAAGCCCCCATTGGCCGGGAACGGGGAACCGCAGCCAATGGGAGCTTCGGGGGAGGTACCCGCAGGTTAGGGCAGCGTGCAGAGTCCTCTGCCCCCGCCCTCCTCCTGCGGGGGCTGCAGGGACGTGGTGCCGGCCGCTATTGGGAGTGGCATGGGGCCAGGGCAGGCAGGCTGCATGCTGCTGCCATCCCAGAGCCACTCAAGGTAAGGTAAGCTGCGCTGGGCCGGAGCCCGCAGCTCAAACCCCTCCTGCACCCTGCACTCCAACCCCCTGCCTTGAGCCCCTGCCGCACCCTGCACACCTCTTGCACTCCAACCCCATGTCCTGAGCCTCCTGCAGCACCCTGCACCCCTCTTGCACCTCAACCCCCTGCCCTGAGCCCCCTGCCACACCCCTCCTGCGCCGAGCCCCCTGCCACACCCCACACCCCTCCTGCACCCCAACCCCCTGCCCTGAGCCCCTAAGCCCCCTCCCACACTCTGCACCGCCTTGCCCTGAGCCCCTTCCTGCACACTGCACCCCCTCCCACATCTCGCACTCCCTCCTGCACCCCACCCCCTGCCCCAGCCCTACATTCATGGCCTTGCATGCAATTTCCCCATCCAGATGTGGCCCTCGGGCCAAAAAGTTTGCCCACCCTGGTCTAAACATTGCGTTTCAGCGTTATTGAATAAAGCAAAACTTTTCAACGTTCCTCACATCAAAATGCTTCTATTTGGAGTCATTTCAACATTAAACTGTATTTCCTTACAGTGGCACATTGCCTTGTGGGGGTCACCTGTCCTCACTGGAGGCCAGGCTCCCTGGTCAGATTACATCTCCCATAACAGCATGTGATTCCCATGAGCCACCACATAGCTTGGTCAGTGTGAAATTCATGCCTTATGGGAGATGTAGTGCTCCAGGGGCCCAGCCCATGGGAGAGAAAGGGGCCAGAACTACCACTCCCATAAGGCAACGTGCCACGACATGTAAATACAGCTTTATGTTTTATTGAACTGCTACAGAATTAAACATTTTGGGTCAGTTCAAAACTGAAATATTCTGATTTGGTTCGAACCAACCTGAAATGAAATATTTTGCTTAGATTTTCACAAGGGAAAACTGAAAAGTTTCCAGAACTGTATTTTCCATTGGAAAATCATGCAGACAAATTCCCAACCAGCTCTAGGAGGATGGTAGGACTCAGTGCCAGGACTCAACAGAACTGCTCAGAGGGAGAGGCTTAGCAGCTAGGTGGGGCTGACAGACCCTGGGGGAGGGGCTTAGCAGTTGGGTGGGGCTGACGGCCCCTGGGGGTGGGGCTTAGCTGGCACTTTGGGGCAGCAGGACTCTGGTTCTCTGGTCCCTCTACCCGCATATGCTGCATGCCTATTTGCACTTGGAGCTGGGGGGGCGATTCCCAGCTGGAAGAGACATGTCTGCGCTAGCTCTCCTGGAGCAAGTGTGCTACAAACAAACTGTTGCTGTGCACTGTGAGCTGTGGGAGGGGCTAACGCCTTCCCCAAAGGGGGGAGCAAACTGTCAAGTGTCCAGAACATGGGCCGGCTCTTGTCTGTTGAAGTGGCTGGGGTTGGACGGGTTCTGAAAGAGGAAAGAGCACCCCCCCCCGCCCCAGGCTGCAGTTATTGGGCTGGTGTCCTAGGTGGGGAGCTGGGGTCTGTACCAAGGCTGTGAGCTACCATCAGGGGTGGGAGAGAGACAGCAAATTAATCCACTCTTATTGCTCTGTCCCTGTAGACCTGCCCAGCCTCGTCAGAGCAGATCCCAAGGCAATGGCCAAACCACCAACACAGAGTCCACAGGCTCCCACCGCACCAACTGCAAACACCCTGGCTCCATTATCGCAAACGGAAAGACTGGTTGCTTTTCCCAGGGACTGCGTACCTGGCTGAAGGGTCCCATAGAGCTAATGCAGCCCTGCGTGCCTGGCTGAGAGCTTCACACCATTCGACCATGTCAGTGCCCGGTTTAGGATGTTCTCTGATGCCAGGCGCTCATTCTGTCCCTCCCGTTTGGCACCCCTTTGCTGGAGGAGTACATTTCTACAGTGGCAGGGTGATAACCTGGGTGTGTGCGGATCGCCCCCCCGCCCTTTGGCCAGCTCCAATAGACTCAATGGGAGCAAACCACAGGGTGCTATTGAAAAGAAATAAATTCCATAAGCCTTCAGAGTAATGCTGATCTAGGCTGAACAGAGCCAGAGCCTGTCCGCAGGTTTTGTTTGAAATTCTCCTCTAGGGTGGCTTAAAATTCAATAGATTTTTTTGTTCTCTTCCTTTCTTCAGAGCTTTCCCCTAGCGGCCCTTAGCTCCTCCCTCCAGGGGTGGTGCTAGCTTTCCTTTGGCTGAACTGGCCTACGAAGAATGGCTCAGACGATGTCACTTGGCGTAGTGCTGTACTACTTTGTATTCCATATGCTTTTATATTGCATACAGAAATAAAGCCATTATCAATAGCGGAGGCAAACACAGCGACATCACACTGAAGGGAAACCAAAAGCCACAGTTAAATGAGAGGCCCTCATCTGTGTGTGTGTGTGTGGGGGGGTGACAGCGTTACTGCCACCAGGTGGTGCAATGATCTGGTCATGCTGGTGAGGCTGTTCTTCAGACAGTGCTGTGGAGTCTCAGGTTGTGTGTGTGAGCCCCTAAAGGGGAGGCAACAGGCTGGACCAGTGGGCTGCACAGCTCTTTGCTAGACAATAGGAGGCTGGGAATCAGAACTCCTGACTTCTATTCCTGGCTCTGGAAGGAGATGGGGGCGGCTAAGTGCTGTGTTTAACTATTCTTTGCATTTATATGGTGTCCATTCATTATTGCATCCTCCAGCATTTTGTGATGCTGGCTGTGCAGGAGTCAGTCTTATTGTAGACGTCATAGTCCAGCACACAGATTTGGCACATTCCATCTGAGAGACAGTATGGCTAAGTGAAGGATTCTGGGATCTGCCATATTTGAGATCTGGATTTCCCAGGCTTGCAAAATGGGTATGGAGGAGAATGTTCCTGCCCTGCCACTTCAGCAAGCACTAGGAGATCTTGCTCTGTAATAAGGGCTAGGCTGTGCAGTGCAGACAACTAATTCCAGTCACTGGAAGAGCTGTGATTAGAACTCAGTCTTCTCCAGGCTCGCAACCTTGCCCACCTTTCCCTTAGCCAAAGAATACTTCGATGGTGGAAAAATAATTCTGCGCTTGTCTGTGCAACGGCTTGGTAATGATGCAGGAGGCTGCCTGGAGCTTGGGAGCCAGCTCAGTGCACTTAGAATGCCCAGGAGACTAAGAGCAAGTGTCTAGCAAGTTCTACTGAGCACGTGCAAATGGTAAATTTCTGCAGCCTCTAACTCGATCACAGCTGTCCATGAGGATACGAAGCAGCACCTCTGAGCGCATGACTTGCCCCATGCCAAATTGTCACGCTCCTGCGCCAAGGATGGTGATAATCAAATGGGTTTAAAACTTATACATATATTAAGAGGAAATGAGAAGATTTTTAAACCTAATTCTGAAAGGATGACCTAATTTTTTCTCAAAAAAATAACCAGTGGCAGTGACCAGTTGGGGAAACTTCAGCCTGAGGGGTTAGTTTGATGACATTCTAAACAAATGAAAACAAGAGGTATAATGGAAAGCGTTACACAGCTTAATCTCTAGGGCAAGGGTGGGCAAACTTTTTGGCCCGAGGGCCAGATTAGGCAATACAAATTGTATGGTGGGCCATGAATACTCACAAAATTGGGGTTGGGGTGCAGGAGGGGGTGCGGGCTCTGGGGTGGATTTGGGGTGCAGGAGGGTGATTTGGGCTGGAATCGAGGATAGTGGAGAGCGGGAGGAGGATCAGGACTGGGGCAGGGGGTTGGGGTGTAGGGAGAGGCTGAGGGGTGCAGGCTCCAAGCGGCGCTTACCTCAAGTAGCTCCCGGAGCAGTCCCTTCTCCAGCTCCTACACAGAGGCACGGCCAGGTGGTTCTGCACACTGCCCCATCCGCTGCAGCTCCCATTGGAGCACGTAGGAGCTGGAGTAGGGCCATGCCGTGGCTTCCGAGAGCCGCGTTTTGTGGCCCCCAACCCAGCGTCTCGGCCGGAGTGGGGCCGAGCGGTCCAGCCCCCAGACACAGCGGGGGCTGAGCAGTGTGGGTGCGGCTCGCAGGCTGTATCTGGCCCTCAGGCTGTAGTTTGCCCACCCTTGCTCTAGGGCTTGTGCAGGCTTGCTCCTCCTTGCAGTCTAATACACAAAAAGGTGTACCGCTGCAGAACGCCTCCCCTTTTTAGGGATGGGAGAGGCAGAAACGCTGTCAGGCCTTCTCTATGGAGCCAGAAAACGAGGGCTCAGCCCCTCTTGCAGGTCACCTTATGCATGTGTTCTGCAGTATATGCACTCGCTAGGTTTTCTAATGGTCCGAACTCTCATTTTACAGTAGAATATGCTAAAGTCCAGCAAAGCGTGGACTTGACAGGGAAGAGCTGTGTGACAAATGTGCTATGGAAAGGGCCAGTTGTTTTTGCACCATCTCTCTTTCAGGGAGAGAGAGGAGGTGCCAAGGCCCTCTCAGCATGTTAAAAATGGGCAAAACTTTTTTCCAACTCCCCCCTTCTTAACTTGAATATGGCTGGAGAGATGTAGGTTAGTCTCCTACAATCAAGCATGGCCCTGAGGTCAAGTCTAGAATAGTTCAGCCCCATAACATGAGCATCACAAAAAGCACAAGGACATGCAAATAGGATTCTAATAGAAACAGTTTCTGTAACCTTAACTCTGGCACTTGCACCAGCTCAGCCTGTAGTATAAACAAGCACTTCTAGCCAGCCTCACCTAGACTTCAAGCAGGGCTTGGTTTTTAAATTTCAACCATATCTCCAGCCAAACCACTTTTGAAGAAAACTGGCACAGGAGTTTGACTTACAGAGTGTCTGAACCAAACTCGGCAAGGGCAGGGGTGTTGCGAACGTTGGCATGTCAGTCCAGCAAAGCATCTGTTCCAGTTTGGGACTGGTGGCTGAATCCTTGTCACAGGCTGACTGGTCCCTTTAAGAGTGGGTGGGGGTGGTGTCCAGTGCACCTGTGGCCGATTACCTGCTGTCCAGTTGGTCTTAAGACAAGGCACCTGGGGTCTACAGCAGCAGAAGAGGAAGCTGCAGAGAGCAGAAGGCTGCAGGAACATGTGTGATGTCAGACTCCACCCAAGTAGAGGCCTGCCAAATGCAGGGAAGAACTAGGCTGCAGCTAGAAGGTTGGGAAGCCCCAGCGATGAGTGGTGGTCTGAATTCTACATAAACCAATGAGACTCACAAGGGGAATGTATTAAGGGCTGAGGTCTGGAGTTTATTTAAGGAGCCCTGCAGCGGGTAAACGGATGCAGGGCCGCTCTATAGCGACCAGGAAGGGTCACTTGGGAGGCAGCTGCCCCTTCTACAGTCCCACAAGCAGGGGCTGGGGCCAAGTCTGGAGGTGTTCCTGGCCCCCCTCCTTTGGGTGCATCTAAGCAGCTGGAGAGAGGCTGGATCTGTGCTGCCAGGGCAGGGCTGTAAAGTGCCAGCCTGCACCGTGGGCATGCTGTGGTGCCAGTGTAACAGTGACCTTGCCAGGGGAACAGGAGCGCGCAAAGACATTCTCCCTGCTGCGGGCAAACTCCTGCTTCACCCCCAGCATACCCTGTGACCTCTTCCCCTCCCGCCCTGGGCCGCTGCGGGACACTGAACACAAGACACAAGCACACGCTCTCCTCCCAAATGCTGTATTGACTGTGCTGGGATTTCCTAACTACAACCAATGCTGTGCCTGGCCCCAGCTGAGCTTGCTGGCTGGCACAGTGCTGCCAAAGGAGGGGTTGCATGCTGGTCTTGAACCCGGCCTGGCTTTGTTGGGAGAACAGCTCCCCTGGGAAGCGGCTGCAAGCTCACTGTAAAGGGCTAGAGTGTGAGCTGGAAGGCCTCTGTCACATGCTGCTTCACGTCACCAAGGGCCCCGACTGCTGAAGAGATTCCCAAGATGCTCCACTCTTCTCCCGCCACAGCACAGGAGCTGTGGTAGGACTGGAGCTGTACCCGAGCCATCCCCAGCAGCCCTGCAGATGGGAACAGCACAGAGAGCTCACGCTGTGTGCCTGCTGGGGCAAGGGCACCCAGCAGCAACACAGCCCTTAGCTCTGCCCTGCCGTGACTTAGCACCCCACTGAACATTCCTGCGGGGGCAGGACAAGGCTGAGAGCAGCAGTCCCTTGTGGCTATGGGGCTGGCAGCCCCTGAGCCTTCCCTCATAATCAATGGAAAACTCAGCCCGCCCTCTGGCCAGCATGGCCAAGCAGCCCAGGCTGGTGCAGACAGGTCCTCTGGGACACCAGGCCCATTGTCTGTCAAACCTGTTTCAGGAGTAGGGGATGTTTAATGGCAAAGCAATACCCGGCCCCTGCCTTCCCCATCACTCCCCCACCTCCTGCTGCAGCCGTTGCCTGCCAGAGGCAGGTGGCCTCATTACAGCCGTAGGTTGTCTTCTCACAACCCCTGGCCCTCAGTTCCCATCATGCTCCCCTCCCGCCCCCATTCCCAAACGTCTGCCGGGAACTCCCCTGTAATCCCCCCACTGTACCCTTTCCCCTATATCTTCCTAACAGAGTGCCTTGGATGAGGAGCACAGGGTGGGGTCCAAGAGACCGGGAGCCCATCACTGGTGCAGGTGGATCATGGACCTGTAGCCCCCTACATTCCTGCTTCTCAGGACTGAGGCTTTGTCTGAGCCAGGACTCCCTGCCGGGGCACACTGCTCCCCCTGGTAACTGCCTAAGGCCCTGCAGCCTCTTAACTCAGCCGGGCACAATGCTGGCCCCAGAGAGGCAGCAGCAGTCAGGGTGGGATCTTACCCCTCCCCTTGGTGAGGTGGGACATTCAGGGCCTAACTGTAACTCATGGACTGGGGGTGGCAAAGGCAGGCTCCTTCCTCACCGATCACTGCAGGCAGCGTGCTGGCGTTGGCAGCTTTGGCTCTGTAGAGCAGCAGGTGGCCAGTGAGAGGAACTGGCTGCTTGAAGTTGGCTCCGTTGAGCTCCTGCAGGACGGGGGTGCTGCCTTGGACTGAGCCCACTAGACTGGAGGGGGTCCCCTGTAAGGTGACCTGCAGGAGGCTGTCACCGGTGTACAGTTCCGGCACTGCGTTGCTGTGAGTGGTTGTGACCTGAAGGGGAGAGGGGAGATGACCGCTCAGCAGCCCCATGTCATCGCGGTGGTACTTCCACGCCCCCAGGAGGTACAGCTATCCCCAGGGTACAGCAAAGTGACTTGCCCATGGTCTCCCTGGGAATCTGTGGCAGTGCAGGGAATTGAACCCGGGTCTCTGAAGCCCTAGCCCTGGACCATCCTTTCCCTCTCACCGTCTGAAGGGGCTGCAGGCCAGAGAACACCCAGTTGGTGCTAGCCAGGGGCTGGGGCTTGTCAGGGCCCCCTCTAGGGGTCCTACAGGGGGAGACCATCCAGCAGATGCCAGGTGTCCCTGCCTACATGTAAGGGGTGAGGTGGGAGGGTGCCCCGCTAGTGCAGGGGCAGGGAGTGCCTGCTGGGGGATATGACGAAATAGAGGTGGGCTCTGGTGTTGGCAGACGGGCCAGTGAAGAGTTTGCCCCACACCAGGCAGGCCCAGTGAAGAGACCTAGGGAGGAGACTCCATGTGCACTGACTCCTGGCTGTGTGACTGGGGTCCCAGGCAAGCCGTGTACCTTCAGTCCAGCCTCCTGGACAAGCAGCAGCCCATTCACCAGGTTCACATCCTTCTGTGCTGCTCCTTCTAGCAGGCCGGTAGCCACAGCAGGGCTCAGGTAACTCCCGGCCTTCTGCAAGGGCACTCCTGCAGGTGCGGGGAGCCATGAGGGTTACACAGACACGCTAGCAGAGCCCCAGCCGCAGTAGATCCCCACCGCATGCCAGGCTTCTCTCACCGCTCCCTGCCAGAGGCCACGTTTTAATACAAGGACTCTGCTGTCCCGCTCCCACTCATGTGGCCCAGCCCTGTCTATCGCCATCACCTCCCATCCCATCAGCTCCAGCAGCTGCTCCCCTGGAGAAGTGACAGGAGCAGAGTAACAAATGTAAATGAGCAGCTAGCACCATAGGTCCACCTGCGCTCACTGCCTTCCAGCTTGGGAGCCTCTGCTTCAGAGTTTTGGCCAACCTGGTTTCATAACTCCAGAGCAAGTGGGTGTCTGCCATTTCCCCTGGAGACTATTCCCCAGCTTGGCTTCCCCTTTCCTGCTGCTGTTCCTCCACCGCACTGTGTGAAGCCAGGGCAGGTCCAGCCGCCCCCCACCAAACCCCACTCTGCTCCTTCCTAGAGCTGGTGGACACTCAGAATTTCCATTTTGCAGGAAGTTTTGACATTTCTAAATGTATTTGTGTTCCAAATCTGACCGAAAACAAACGTTTTCAAGATTTCCCGTGACATGTGAATTTCAAACAGGTTTGGGAAGAGTGTCTGGGGAATTTGAAGTGTTTTGTTTGTGCATTATTTCACAACATGACTTCCAAACCTCTTCCAGTTTTATTGGATGGGGTTTTTGATTGTTACGTTTGTACATCATTTCACGATGGGGCTGGAGCAGTAGTGCATGATGTACAAATATAACGATCAAAAACCCCATCCAGTAACGTTCGAAGAGGTTTTGAAGTTAACAAACAAAATTTGGAAATGTTACAAAATGAAAATTTTTCCCCGTGTGAGAACTTGTTGAAAGTGATATTTTAAAAAAATGTTTAATTTAGACAAAAGTGGAATTTTCCCCCACAAAACGAGTTGATGAAAAGTTTCCAGCCCACTCTCCTCTTCTCCCTCAAAGGGGAGACGGGGGGGGAGCAGACAGGATATTGCTGGTTAGTCCCTGGCCTGGGCCCTTAGGGGATGTCTACACTGCATTGTAAAACCGACATTTTGCAGTGAGGACGCAGGTCAAGCCAGAAGGTTTGTGTAGTGCAGTATGGCCAGGTGAGACCTGGCTCCAGCAATTGTAAATGCAGGTTTACAGTGCAGGGTGGACTGGATGCTCAAGCATGGACTTGGAAACGTTAAGCCCAGGACCACAATGCAGTGTAGACATAGCTTCAGCTGCCACATGCCTTGTCCTGCCCCGCCCAGGGCAGCCCTGGCACTGCACAGCACCCCCTCTCTGCGGCACTGCTGTGTCAGCACAAGGGCAGAGACACAGGGCCAGCATGCTGCCCACCCAGCTCTTGGAGAGCACCACCGCTTGAGAGGAGCAACCCAGCTCTGCCACCCAGCCCTGCGAGCTCACCCAGTGTGGAGACCTGCACGCTTCCCTTCACCGGGCTGGCCAATGTCTGCAGCAGCACACCCAGGGCTTTAGCCAGGGCGATCCAGGGCTTAGTCTGAGGTTCCAAGGCACTGCTGAGAGCCTGGCCGTTTACCTGTGGGCAGGGGGAGGAAGAGGAAAGGGGGCTGAATACATAGTGGGCTGATGGGAAGGGAGAAAGCCACTCGCTAGCTCCTGTAAAGCGCTTTTTACCCAGTGATCTGCCAGCACTTTACAGGGGAGGGCAATAGCATTACCCCCACTGTACAGATGGGGAAACTGAGGCACACAGCAGGGCGGTGACTTGCCCAAGGTCAGCCAGCTGGCAGAGCCAGTAATTGAACCCAGTTCTCCTGAGTCCCGGTCCAGTGCTCTAGCAACTAGGCCACACACAATCTGAGTCCTGGAGCAGAGGCAGGACCTGAGGCAGCATGAGATGCTCAGTTAACTGTTGGCAGGGCTGTCTGCTTGCTCAGAGCTCTGCTGAGGCAGCGCCCATCCTCGCCCGCAGCCTGCGTCCCTCCCCGTGCCCCCTCACTCACCACGCCAGCCAGCACCTTCCCCTGGGCCAGGTCCACAAACTGAAGGGCGATTTCTTTGCCACAGCGGCTCTGTGCTTCCCGGGTGCTGGCGCCCAGGTGGGGGCAGCTGATCACGTTGGGATGGTTCACCAGGGTGCGGTCCTGGGGCGGCTCCTGCAGACACAGCCTGTCCCATTAGCCCGAGCCGCCCTCCAGGTGAGTGGCCCTGCCTGAAGGGGCATTGCAGCAAAGCACGGTGGAGACGTGGGCACAGCTCCTGGGCTGCAGGCTGGTTGAGTAGCCTGAGTGGCATTTCAGTCCCAACGGCTGATACAGGTGGGGAGGGTACAGCTGGCGCACAGCAGGGGTGTAGTACCCAGCATAAGGGGGCGTGTCCCGTCCCTATGGCCTGCACAGGGTGGGGGAGACTTCGCTCCCACGCAGAGCACAGAATTAAGGCTGGTTTGGGAATGTTACGGAGTTTCCGATGGGCCATTTCTGAGGGCCTGGCAAGGCTGGGCCCCAGCTCCTCCCCAGAGCCGGGTGCAGATGAGCAGGCGGGCTGCCTCTGCATGGTGGGGGCTGGCTGCCAGGGAAGTGAGTGTCACAGCTGGGTAGGGGGAAGCAGAGTCAGCCCAGGCCTACAGGTCTTGGGCTCAGGGCTACAACAGCAAGGGTGGCTGCGAGGGCTGGAACGTAACGCTCTCCAAGCAGCTAAACCCTGGTGTCAAACCCAACAGCAGGCACAGGGCCCTGAGCCCTGGCGGAGTGGAGCCCATGGCCAGTGAACGAGCCAGGACATGGGGCCAGGGCTCTGCACCCGCTACCCCCAAGGAGCTACAAGACCATTACATGGGCCAGGAGTAACCCACCCTGGGCAGCAGAGTGGGGATGAACAAGGGGCAGGCTCCTTTGCACCTCTCAGGCCTGGCCCAAGGTCATGCATCTGGGACGGACCCTCTGTTTCTGTGCCCACCCCCCTCCTAGGGCAGCAGGCCTTGGCTTGGGGCCAGGGCCCCCATCTGCTGTGGCAGTTCCATGGGGGAATGTGCTCTGGGTCCCGCCTCCGCCCAAGGCCCCATTTACCTACCTCGGTGAAGACGTCGAGGCCGGCTCCCCCACACTGGCCAGACTGCAGCGCCCGGAGCAGCGCCCCCTCATCCACAATGCCCCCTCGAGCACAGTTCACCACCTGCACCCCCCGCCGGCACTTGGCAAAGGTGCTGTCGTTCAGTAACCCTGGGGAGAGATAGCAGGGGGGTAGAGTCTGACAACAAGCTAGCCAGCCTGGCTCTCCTCCCAGCGTGGGCTGCCCTGGACCCACCCGCACCTCCCAGGGAATCCCAGTTAACTGTGTGCAGCTGGTCCCGGCTGGCAGCAGAGCACACACCTACTGGCCTGAGCCCTGGGAGGGACACACCCCAGTCCAGGCCAGAGGGAGTGCTCTAGGGGAGTGTCCCTTAGAGTCCTCTCTTCTGCGATCCCATCCTCCGCCTCAGCATCCCCCTGCCTCCATCTCCCTTCACTGCTGGGGCGTTCTCCTTGGAGGGCCTAGCTGTGAGCCCGCAGTCAGCGTGACAGGACCCCCCCTTCACCCTGCCTGGGCTCCGCTATTGGCAGAAGGAGAATGGGAGCTTGTGCACTGGGCTACCATGGCTCTGCCAACCTGCCACCCTCCTGACTGCTGCCCCTGCCATTCCAGCCCTGCCCCTCGGCATGGCTCTGCCAATGCGCCAGCCCCCTTACTGCTGCCCCCCATCCCTCTGGCACAGCTCTGCCAGCCCGCCGCTCCCATGACCACTGTTATCCAGATCTCCTGCTATGGGGCCCTCATCTTGTCCTGCATGGGGTTGTACCTGACTCTTCCCCTAGGCCTGTTTTCCCCTCCAGCCCCCAAGCCCTGTTAATCCCATGGCCTTCAGAGGGGAGAGGCAGAGGCTGGCGTGGCTGCTCTGGGCCCTGCTCCCCTACCTGTGGTGGAGGGCAGGAGCGGTGTGTGCACTGTGATGAAGTCGCACAGGGGCCAGATCTGCTCCAAGGGTAGCTGCTGCACACCGAAGGCAGCCGAGTCCTCGGGTGTGATGATGGGATCGTACCCTATGGTCTAAGCACAGCCACAGCCACTCGCACAGCCCAAGCTGACCTCCTCAGCTTTGGGTGACAGGCCCCCCAAGCCCTGGGGGAGGGGACCTTGGGCAGTAGGGGGCCCGTCCTGAGGGCTGCCCTGCCTTTTCCGAGGTGCAGCAGGGAAAAAGCCCAGTGGGCAAAAGGCCGGGGGGAGGGGGCTCGGTAGGGTGCCCCCTGGGGGCGGAAGGGGGAATAGCTACCAATGCACAGGGGGCAAGAGGCAGCCCTGACCCGGCGCTCCTTACTGAGCAGACCCAGAGCCCTGTCCCGGCTGGCTGGGCTCTAGTCCAACTTGGGCCATGGCTGCATCCTGGCTGGAGGCTGCCTTTGCTGCCTGAAGCGGCGCGCGCCCCGCGTAGTAACTAATGCCCCTTTGCTCTCGCCAGAGAATCCGCACAGCACCCAGGCACAGGGAGCTTCCCCCACAGCGTCAGCACCGTGCTCCCAGCCTTCCCATCGCACACTGCTGGCTAACAGGGCAAGTCTCTGCCTTCCCAGCCGCCAGCGGCCCCACGGACGCGCTGTGGCGTAGGAGTGCAAGGGGCAGAGTTAAGGGGAGCTTCCCCCATTGCCTTTCCTGGCTGGGCACTGCTCCATAGTCACATCAGTCTGAGGCACAAGAGATGCCCATGTCCCCAGAGAGGCTCCGGGCAGGTACAGACAGAGCAGCCCCCTCCTTAGCGCCCCCCAGGGGCTGCAGCTGCACGGAGAAGCAGATTAACCCTTTCTCCTCCATTCCCCTGGCTGGAGGGAGAATTAATCCCGTCCTCCCCCACTACCTGTGTGTACTGCGGGAGGAGTATGGGGCACATTAACCCTCGCTCTCCCCCTCCCTGGGCACGACCTGCCCTGCACCTCACCAACCCAACCGAGCCTCTGGGCAGGTTAACCCTTTCCCTTCCCTGCTGCCACCCTTACCTTCATCCCGAAGGCCTGCATCCTGGTGGCCACTTCTCTCCCGATGCGGCCCAGGCCCAGGATGCCCAGGGTTTTCCCATAAAGCTCCATTCCCATGAACTAGAGCAAAGAACGCAGACAGGGCTGTGACTAGAGGCTCCAGGGCAACCCACCCCCCCAGCAGTGCCACGGAGATGGCACCGGACTCTTACTTTCTTACGGTCCCACTTCCCCTCCTTCATCGAGGCGGCTGCTTGGGGGATTTGCCTGAAACACCAACAGCATCGTGGTCAGCAGAGCCTGCAGCCCCTGGCTGAGCCACCCGGCGCAATCCACACTCCATGGGGGCTTCCAGCACCCCAGGGGGCTGTGGGGCCTGGTAGGGGGCGCTTCTTGTGTCTGTGCCCCCAGCATGGGGCATGCCCACTGTGGGGTCAGTGCCCTGCAGAGCATATGAGCCCCAGGGGGAGGTGTGTGGGGGGGAAGAGAGGTGCTTTGTGGGTGTCGACTCACCCCAGGGTCCATGCTCTGCAGGGCTACAGGGCGGTGGCTTTGTTCCTTTCCACCCTTCCCCAGCTGGTGTGTGGGGGTCGCGGGCTGTGGAAGGACCTGGGCACATGGGTGGGTAGTTTGGAGTTGGGGGCCAGTGGCAGTGATTGTGAGCAGGGGACAGCCAGGTGCCAGGGCTCTAGGTAGGGGCTGAATCAATGGTAGGGACTAGGGGGTGCCCTGGGGGCTCTGTGTGGGAGGGATAAGAGCAGTGATGGGGGGGGGTGGATGCCCTGGGGGCTCTTGGCGGGGGAAGACAGGTGCAGTGATGGGGTGGGTGGGTGCAATGATGAGGAGCAGGTAATGGTGGCTGCATGCCAGCGTGACTGAGGTGGGCAGTGCAGAGGGACTCGAAGCTGCCTTTCAGTGGTGGGGAGGAGCATGCCAGTGGGACACAGGCAGGGTCCCGTGGCTCCCTGCTGGGTGTGGAGCTCAGAGCCACATGGCTGGGGATGGGGAGCCAGTGGCTTCTGGATGTCTGGTGCTCTCTGCAGGGTGGCTGGCAGTGCCGGGGAGTGGGTGGGAGCCGAGTACCCAGGGCCCTATGCTGGGGGCAGTGGGTCCGGAGGCTCCGTGCTGGCAGAGGTGATGGGGAGACAGGGCTTATGGATCAGTGGAGGAGATGGGGAGTCGGTGCTCTGGCTTTGTGCCTGGGGCAGGTCAGAGGGGACGTCCCAGGGCTCCAAGGCAGGGGTGGGGTGGGAGCTGGATGCTGAGGGCAGGGGCCATGGGGAAGAGGCACATGCTGGGGCCGAGCACAGATGAGCCAAGCACAGTGCACTGTGTGGGGGACTTGGGCTGTGTGCTATTCCTGAGATCCCCAAGCAGTGACAGGGGATGACGGGTGACGGTTGTCCTGGGGGGCAGACGTGCTCACCTAGCCAGGCTCAGGATCATCCCGCAGGTGAGCTCCGCTGCGCTCAGGCTGTTCCCGGTGGGCGTGCTGAGGGCAGAGCAGAGCACACTGGGGTTAGCACAGACATCGGGGACAGGGGAGCCCTGGTGGGCCCCATGGGGCAGGCCTGGGAGTGCTCCTTGCAGTCACTTTCCCAGGGCTTGCGGACACTCAGCCTGAATGAGACTTGCCAACATTCCTAGCCATGATGGCTTTGAACTGGCAGCACTGACTATACTGTCACTCCAAGGCAGGGGCCTCCGGGCACAGAACTCAGTGCTTCGCTGGCTCCGTCTGCCGCTGTCACGTCAGCCTGCAACATCTAGTCTCTTCCAGCCATGCTGCCCCCCACTTTCTCCCTCCTGCTGAACAGCTGGGTTGGGTCAATTCTAAACCCCGCCATCCCCATGGTAGCTGTGTTTCCCCAACTGCATCTCGTTTTGTTCCCATGCCCCATTGCATAGGCTCTGCAGTTGGGATCGGTTCTTGGGGGCCTGCCACAACCTACTCACATCGGGGGATCTGCCCTGGGGGACACTGCCCCCTCCCCCAAGCGGCCCATCAGAGCAAGGGAGGGCTGGAGCATGAGTGAATAACCAATCTGTCAGTCTGGTGGCCAACATGAAAAACCCAGAAGAACAAAACATTTTGTTTGACTCAAAAATGAATTCGTCATTTAATATTCAAGAGTTTTTTTAACTTTTGCTTTTTAACCAAGTTCAGCTGGATTTCAGAAGTTGTTTCAAAACAGAACGTCAAAAGGCTCCATTGCAAAAGTCAAAGCGAAACGTTTTCAAAGTTTCACTCCATTTTTGGCTGAATCAATTTGCTGAATTTGGCCCCAAACTGCATTTTCAGCAGAAAACTAAGTACAAAAAAAAAGGTACGTGGCCCTAGGCGGACCACCCAGGAGCACCCTCAGAGCCAGCTGCACTGCTAAACCTCTGGGACCTGACCCAGAGCCCTGTGCCCCCCACGAGACATGCTCAGAGAGAATGGGAATGGAACCGTGCCCCTTTCAACTCCTGTCTAGTCCCTGGAGCCTTTTCTAAGTAATGGCATGGCAGCAGGGGAACCACATGCTCACACATCTGCAGGTATGCACCCTGGATCTGCTCAGATGCTGCCCCCCTCCCATGCACACAAGCGCTGACCTCGGACACACGTGTCCAGAAACTGGACACACGTTGCCAAGGCCAGCACAGCCATTGTGCGGGAAGAAGCAGCTCTGTCCTGGAGTCACACTGCTCTTACTTCATCACCAGGATGCCCTTCCTCGTAGCTGCCTCCACATCCACGTTGTCGACACCAGTGCCGGCCCGACCGATCACCCGCAGCTTCTCAGCGGCCTGGATGATGTCTGCGGTTACTTTGGTCGCCGAGCGGACGATGAGCCCATCGCAGTCCTGAAGGAGTGAGCGCCGGAGCGGATGGGAAGAGGAAGCCAGAGCCCTCCCCCCGCTTCCATAAACCACTGCTCCCCCCACCCCCTAGTGTGGGTCTTAAGGCCAGAAGGGCCCCTAGCCAGCCTGACCCCAGTATAGCAGGCCCCCAGGAGCCACCCCCAGGGGTTCCAGCCCAGAGCCTGGGGTTTAGACAGAGACGCCCCAAGCCGGGTGCAAAGTGTCAGAGACTCTACCCCGTCCCTGGGCGAGGTTCCAGTCTGACTCTGCCCCCTCTCCCAGGGTTTTGCTGCCCCAGGGGCAGAGACCCACACGTCCCAACAGGGGGGAGCCTTGGGTGTCCTGCCTGCAGGAGCCCCGGTTCCTCCTGCCCCGGGTCACACCAAAACCTCTGCTCTGCCCCCAGCTGGCGCCCTGCCTCTCTCCTGGAGCCCCTCTCCCCGCCCATGCCCGCTGAGCGTGCCTAGCCCCCACCCCGGGCACGGGAGCTGGGGGGCCCACTGGCTCTGGGGGGTACTGGCTGGGGCGGTGCGGGAGGGGGGGGCAGGGCTCCCCAGCAGAGGCTGGACCCGACCCCGCACGTGCAGCCCTTGGCTGGACGGTCGCCTCAGCTCCTGCCCCCCCCGGCCCAGGCCTCCAGTCCCCGCGCCACGCAAAACCCACGGCTGTTGCATCAGGCGCGGGGCGGGGAGCGCGGCACGGAGCCCGAGCCAGCCAGGACTCGGGGGCCCTGTGCCGGGCACGGGCCAGCTGGCACCCGGGAGCAGCCCGCGTCCTCTGCCCAGCCTGCACCCCACCGAGCAAGGCAGCTCCCCGGCAGCCCCCACCTGGATCTCCGCCAGCAGCTGCTCCCGGCTGAGGTTGGGCTTGTCCAGCGCCTGGATGCCGCCGGCCTGCAGCAGCTGCTTGCAGCAGGGGTCCAGGCTGTCGCTGAGCAGCACCTTGCTCAGCGTGGCGAAGGCCATGGCGAGCGCAACGGCTGCGACCAGCCAGGGACGGGCGGCTGCACGTTTGGCAATCCGGGAGCTGCGCCTCCAGCTCCGCAGCTCTCCCTAAACCCGGCTAGCCCCGCCCCGGTCTGTCACTCCCCGGCTCCGCAGCACCCCCGCCCCTGCCTCCCCCGGCCCAGCAAGCGGGACAGCGCTGCCCTGCCAGCCGCGGGCTCCTCGGCTCGGCCCGGCCCGGCCCGGGCCCGGGAGCAGGCGTTCGGGGACCTGTAAGAGCGCACAGGAGCCTGCTGCCTGCCCTGCATCTGGGCTGGGGCTGCCCTGCACAGCAGGACCCAGGCTCTGCCTCCTTACAACGGGGAGGGGCCCTTCCCCTGGAGGTGGTCTGCGCCCTGTGGAGGAAGAGAGACCCGGCCAGCAGCTCAGCTCCCCCAGGCCTCAGTTGATCTGTCTGCAAAGTGGGTTTAATAAGGTCTCCCTCCCTGGCAGGGGCCTACACATCCCGTGTCTGTAGAGAGAGCCTCCCATGGAAGGGCTGTGAGATCAGTGCTATGGTAGGAGTGTTATTACTCTCAGTCTCACTGAAGGCCTCTGGGACTTGATTCCTCTGGCTGAAAACCAGCCCCCGGAGGCCAGTCGGGATTCAGGTCCTGGCAGGATTTGGGCTTATGCAAAGCTCATTGGGGTGGGTGTGTAGCTTTACACTAGCAAAACCCTCCCCCTTTCAAGTGCAGCACACCCATCACTTGCCCGTTCTTGCAAAGTGAGTTGGAAAACCGCTCAGGAGAGGGGCAAGCATCTGACAGTCGGCAACCAGGGCCAGATTCTGTCCTCAGTGATGCTGGGGTAAATCTAGAGTCACTCCACTGAGGTCACCAGTGTCCCTCCAGTGGTAGGTGGGTGTAACTGAGATCAGGATCCCTCTAGATTAGGAACTCGTATTCCTCCCAATTACTTTTGCTGTGATTTGAGGCAAAGCATGCTGTTAAGAATTTCTATTTTGTGGCTGGACGGTCTTCTCTGCCTCTCGTCTTAAAAATTGAAGGACCAGAGTAGATTGTCCAAAGCTCCATTTTCTCCTCCATGCCATAGAAGAGTCGTCATTCTTGGCGCCTCGTGCTTGTGACAAGGTCGAATGCTGTGAACAGTAGGAACGGCAAGAAGGAATCCCCAGTAACGGTGATTTGTCCATCATCTCTGCCATTGCAAAGGAAACTCTTGTCCAGGATGGGTGAGTTGCACAAAGAAAACACGCTGCCTTCCAGATAAGGATCCACATGATTCGTCCCTCCCACCATTGGCCACCACTGACCCATTTGTAAAATCAAGGCCAGTTCTAATATCTCCCATCACAAGCTTCCAATTGGGCAGGGCATGCACAGTCCAATCTCCCCAGTTAGACGTCCACATGACCTGCCAGTCATGCCCACCGGCCACTCAGGAAAAAACAAAGCCCCCTTTGATATCTACAGGTCATAAGCTTCCCTATGGCCCATGCGGGGCTAGCCAGGAGGAAAGAGGGTTTTCAACAGACTGTTACCCAGGAGCTCAGACTAGTTGATCACAATGGTCCCTTCTGGCCTTGGAATCTATGAAAAGACAAGAACATTATTCATTAGGATTCAAATTTCTGTTTCTTTAACCAGACTGCAGCCAGTTACATGGTATATTTACATGTCGGGTCCAGTCCTGCTCCAGTGGAAACCAGTGGTAAAACACCCAGGCTCAGATCCTCAAAAGCATTGGAGTGTGTAATTCCCAGGAGGATCTGGGACCCTACTGACTTCAGTGGGAGCAGATCCGGATGCCCAGGCCCTGATCCTGCAAGCACTGAGTGGGTCCCATTTGAAGTCAGTGGGCACAGTCCTGTTCCAGTTGGATTGCTCACCTGTGTAAAGTTACTCACATGCATAAGGCATTTGAAGGATCAGAGCCTGTGGCTGGTTCACTGGGAAGTGACGCTCTGGGAGTGGGGCAGGGGGGAGCATCTTTATGGCATTGATGGCTTTTAAAGTGAGCTCAAATCTGCCTGCTGAATGGCTGCAATGTGGCTTTTTTACCCAATACAACTTCTAACAATCAGATCTGGATCCTAATTGTAAAACCTTCACTGTGTGTCTTTTTTTTAATGTATATTAATTGGAACATATTTAGATGGGATGCTCTGTGTTACTGACTTGTGAATCTGATTACAAGTTTCACACAATAGTTGGTGTTTGTCTGAAAGCCCACAGCCACGCGAGTGAATCTTGGCTTTTGTTTTTCAAAAAAGTTGCTGGCCCTGCTGGTTGCAGAGAGAAGCTTGAAAATGTGATGCCAGAGGCTCAGATGTCAAGAGGGCCAATACAGAAAGATTTACTTTCAAATCTCATGATTTTCTAAGCCAGTCTCACAATACTTTTGAGCCTGGCTCATGATTTATTGAATGTTTCGGGTTGGCAACTCTGCTGCCCCATTTCCTGGTTGTAGGGTGAGAAGTTCCGATGCAGCTGTTGTCACCATTTGTTTAGAGCAAACTGTGACCCAGCTACTGCCCAGTTCCCATCCTCTGTTTTCTTGCCATCAGCAGCTTGTGCATCGGGGCAAAGAATTTGCAATCTAAGTTCACGGGCGGCTGCCAGGCACACAGGGGCAACCCCTTGCCTCCAGGGCGGGTGTAGCTGTGTAACTGGGGGCAGGAGTTGACGACAATGGGGTCACGTAGGTGGCCTGCGTTAACAATTCTGTCACTGATGCAGGCCCTGTGAGGGGTCCTGTTTGCTCTCCCCGAGCTGTATGGGGCTGAAGGGCTGACAGGAGTGCAAAACGAGGCCAGCACTGCCAGATGCAGGTGCCTAAAGCTCAGCTCATGGGTATTTGGGCACCCGACCATGCGGATGGGATTCCAGAAATGCTGAGTGCAGCACTTTCTGCTGCTGTCACTGGCAGCCCCATGGGAGTTAGGCCACTAAGCCAGGGGTCTGCACGCGGACTGAGGAGCTGGACTTTGGACTGTTGAGTTTAGAAATGCTGGCCTGTCTCGGACACTGGTGTAACAGCGCTGCCCTGGAATGCTGCGAGGAGCAGAGCTGCTGAGCAAAGGGCAGGGTAGAATGGGCCAGCCACCCTCCACTGTTCCCCGGGAGCTCTCCTGCCCACTGAGCAGGGGTGCTGCGCACTGGAGGAGATGGCTTCCCAGGGCAAGCCCAGGAAATGTCTTGCAACCCTTTTGGCTCTGCCTTCCCTTCCCAGAAAATGTGTCTTTACAGCTACAATTGCAGAACCAGCCTTGGCCGTGAGATCCTACTGCTGTACTTGCCTTGCACCCCGCTCCCTTCCCATGCTGTGTAACTACCTACAAGCCTGCTGTGAGCTAGCCTTTAGCGCCTGCTAGAAAGTATGTAAAGGCAGGACCACGGCAGGACTAGTTGCTAATCCCAAGGGGTAATCCCTGGGTGCAGACTGACTTGCTTCCGCAGCAAGGGTAATTGTTGAGTCTCCGCGGCTGTTACGTCAGCTTTGGATAAAGACTCTTGCAGTGGCATTCTTCACCCTGGCTGTGGAGTGGGGCTGGTGAGCTACACATGTTGTTGAGCAATGCCTGATAGTTTATACACTTGGGTCATGATGGCAGAGGCCAGACAGGTCCCCCTGTCAGATTCTCAATGCAGCAGCCACTCCCAGTGTCTAAATACACGGGGCCTGCCCCTGCTCCCAGATAACTCAATGGGGGTTTCTCCTGTGACACCAACAGGAGCAGGATTGGACCTGGGATTAGCTGGGTGTATTGTAGAATCATAGAAATGGAAGGGACCTCGAGAGGTCATCAAGTCCAGCCCCCTGTGCTGAGGCAGGGCTGAGTAAACCTAGCCGTAGACCATCTCTGGCAGCTGTTAGTTCTTAAAAACCTCCCATGATGGGGATTCCACAATCTCCTTTTGAGCCTAGTCCAGATCTTAACCATCCTGTGATGGGTGAAATCCCCACACTGGCTCTCCAAGAATGGAATTGGGCTAGATGGGGCCAGCAGCTAATTAGGCTGTAAACAGGGGAGCTTTTGGCTGGAGACAGCTACTTAGAGAACAGGCTCAGGTGTGTAGGGACAGGCAGGGCGTATAAAGCCAGGTAGCGGGCTGCAGAGAAAGGGCAGTCCCTCGCTGGGAGGAGGATTCTTGGAGCTGGTACTCCCAGAAAGAAGGGGAACCAGGTGTGGGAGGAAGCAGTCCAGGGAAGGAGCAGAGAGGGTAGAGCCCAGAACTGCTGAGCTGAGGGTCCCAGGACCAGAACCTGGAGGCAGGCCAGCCACTGAGGGAGTGACACTGGGACAGTGAATGGGCTGACTGCCTAGGACTGCTGATGGTCTGAAACCTGGAAGGGGGAACGCTGAGTGACCTAGCAAGAGGGCTAAATCACGAAGAGGATGCTGAGGGTCCTGGAGTGAGAGGAGCCGCAGACCTGAGTCAGAGTGATGATGTCCAAACCGCAGGGGGGGCTTCTGCCTCGAGAGCTAATCCCCAGAGCGACCAGGAGGAGGCACCAGACCAGCAGTGAGTGGAGCACCCCATGACACATCCTTAAAGTCAGGAGGTTTTTCCTGTTATCTAGCCTGAATCTCCCTGGCTGCAGATAAAGCCCATCACTTCTTGTCCTCCCTTCAGTGGACGTGGAGAGCAGCTGATCACTGTCTTTTATAACATGTCTGAAGACTGTTATCAGGTCCCTCCGCAGCCTTCTCTTGGATGTGGTGCAGCAGTACAATCTGGGGCTGGACTGTGTCCCAGCTGGGAGGGAGAACAGGATGAACACAGAATGAATGGGATGGAGAATAAGACTGAGATGAGAACAATGCCATTATAGAAACCAACGGGACGCACTCTCCTGGACACGAGTGCAGTACAGTACTCAGCTCCTGTTGTCCAAAAGAAGAGAGCAGAAATAGAGGGGTTCATAGGCAGCTGGCAAAAATGGACAGAGGCCTGGAATGACTTTCCTGTGGAGAGACTGAAAAGGCTGGCCCCATGCAGGTTCCAGAGGAGACACTAGAGGTGTGCAGAGCAACTCAGAGAAGGCAAATGACATGCTCCTGATCACCCACACTCACAATCCAGGAACAAGGGGAAAGTCAAAGAAATTGAAAGGCAACAAA